AGGCCTGTCTTCCTCTCCATAACATCTCAGGCCAGGCGTGGGGAACCTTTTGTCTGCCAAGGGCCGTTTGGATATTTACAACATCATTTGAGGGCCATACAAAATTAGCCTGCTCTATTTGGTCAAACTTTTAATTAACTCACCCCTAATGCCTTGGCAGGGCCAGACCAAATGATGTTCTCCACTCCTGTCTTAGGTGCCTTAGTCCCCACTTCCATGGACAGCTGGCTCTGGGTTTTTCCTGGTGGCCCAATGGAGCTCCAGCTCTACCCTGCAGCTTTCTGAGCATGTCCCCCTGCACGACCCTTACTCACCTCCAATCAAAAGAGCCTCAAAGGAACACTCAAATCTGAGATGAATACGAAACATCCTATTTCCCAAAACCTAATCATTATTCACCCGTTTCTAAATTTAGTTCTCTTCGACTCCTTCCTCTCTGAGTCAGGTGGCATGTTGGGCTAGTAAAATACTATCTCCTTCCTACTACCCATCATTAAGTTCAATTGATATATCTCTCTCTCTCTCTTAAATGTATTTTATTGATTTTTTACAGGGAGGAAGGGAGAGGGATCGAGAGTTAGAAACATCAAGGAGAAAGAAACATCAATCAGCTGCCTCCTGCACACTGGGGATGCTTGCAACCAAGGTACATGCCCTTGACCGGAATCGAACCAAGAATCCTTCAGTCCACAGGCCGACGCTCTATCCACTGAGCCAAACTGGTTAGAGCTGACTTCTCTCTTTAAATTAAATCTATCTCATTCCTTTGCTACCACTAGCACATAAATCAGGTTCTTTTCTTACATCTCAACCATCTTCGGCCGTGCCAGTCTTTTCCTATTGAATCAGCCATCAACTATTTGGGAACCTGTTGCCCTCCACAGTGTGGATGAGGAGTGGGAGGACAGCAAGCTTTACCGCGGGGTCACACTCTCTTGCCTAAAATCAGTATTCTCTCCCCATATGATAAAGTTTGGTCCTTCCCCTGGCACATAGCGAATCTTCAATACATGGCCACACTGCAGCGTCCTAGCCAGAGCTCTTGACATTCCCTGAATCGCTAGCAGGTTCTCAAATATACTTTGATCTTTCCTCCTTTCAAGAGCTAACTCAGCTACATCCTGGCCTTCCCCAGCAGCATTCTACTGTACTCACCCTGTGTGAGCCCCAGACACTCACTAAACCTCCTGTTAGATAACTTCTCACACAATCTTGTTATTTAGAGATTAGAGCAACAAACAAGTGAATGAATGAAATGAATGAATGACTTACCAGGTGGCCTTTCAAATAAGGAACTGTCCTATGTGGAAGCAAATGGACAGATGAAATGGGGTCCTTGCTGATAAGGTCCTTGCTGATAAGGATGCTTTTGCTGCAGCAGTGGCCCTGACTGACCACTGTCAAACACCTGTCCTCTTTAGTCACTCTAAACTCAGCAGCCCTTCCTTTGCAGAAACTCAGTGATCGCCCCAAAGACCCAGCACAAACCCTTCCAAGTTAAGCCAAGTTCAACTATTCATTAACTTTCTATAAAAATAGACATGATTCTTCCTGGAGAGTGGGAGAACCACTTGGGGTTTATTCTGTTCTTGATCATGTTTTTCCCTCCCTGCCTCTCGGTGGGTATAGAAATGATCAAAAGTGAGACAAGGGACAGAGGGTGTTCCAACCCCTCTGAGCTGTCTTATCTCTCACCACCAAATCTCTGCAGTGGTTACTCTCCCACATTTTGAAGTGATGAAAGTGTTCGCATCCCTCAGCTTCTTTCTTTTTTTTTTTTCCACCTTCCCAAAGAAACTTTATTTTTCACAAAGTGCAAAACATAAATGACCATTTTTAATAAGCACAGTCAATCGGCTTCTTTTTTTGCAACAATTTCTGTTTTGTTTTCTCCAGCAGTCATTATCAGAGTAGATAACATTCCAAATGTCCTTTACTCACTTTGTTATTAAACTGCCAGCTGTTTCCTTGCCAGGAACTAAACTAGGAGATCTGATGATATTTGTATGTCCTAAAAGCACCCTAGGTATTTAAAATCTTCTTGTCTATAAGGTAAGCTGAAGTGAAGCCACGGGAAAGACTGCTGAAACCGAAAAAATAACCAAATGTTCCAGCCAGAGGTAGGGAACTAGCTTACAGTACATCATCTTTACTTTGTTCCAAGGACCTTTGTTTATTGTTACAAACTAGATGTGGTTCACAGGGAGCCAGACCTTGATTTCTAGGAAGTTCTCACGTTTCTCTTCTACACATTTAACTTAGACTTAAGATCTTCATAGGCCAAGAGTGACAGGACTGTTCAAAGGACCACTGGTTTATATTGCTAGTCTAGCATCCATCCACCCATTCATCCATCCATCCATCCATCCACCAATCCACCCCAAATAAATATCTATTGAATGCTTCCTATGTTTCTGTGTTCTAGACACCATGTCAGAGCTGGAATACAAAGAATCAGAATGTTTACTGCAGCATAATTTATAAGACTGAAAAGTTAATAATGGAAAATATAAAAAAATAGATGCAACCATTAAAATGATGGTTATAAAGACCATATATAAATTCCAGATATCAGGGACTCCGCTTGGGTTGCCAGGGGGCGTGGCTGGCTTGCAAACCACAACAGGCCCCTTATCCAGGCTACCCCACACCCCAAAGGAACCCCCACCCTGATCTGGGACATTCTTCAGGGCAAACCAGCTGGCCCCCACCCGTGCACCAGGTCTCTATCCTATCTAATAAAAGAGTAATATGCAGATTGACCTTCACTCCAACACACAAGATGGCTGCCCCCATGTGGTCAAAGATCCTGCACCCATGTGGACACAGATGGCTACACAAGATGGCTATCAGGAGAGGGCAGTTGGGAGGCACCAGGCCTGCAAGGTAGGGCAGTTGGGGTTGATCAACCCTGCAGGGGAGAGCAGTTAGGGGTGACCAGGACAGCAGAGGAGGGAAGTTAGGGTCAAACAGGCTGGCAGGGGAGAAGTTAGACATCAATCAGGCTGGCATGGGAGTGGGTAGGGGGTGATCAGGTTGGCAGGCAGAAGCGATTAGGGGCAATCAGGAAGGCAGGCAGGAGAGAAGTTGTGAGCCAGCAGTCCTGGACTGTGAGAAGAATGTCCAAATGCCCGTTTAAACAGGCAGTTGGACATTCCTCGAGGGGTCCCAGATTGTAGAGGGTGCAGACTGGGCTGAGGGACACCACCACCCCTCTCCCCATGCATGAATTTCAAGCACCAGGCCTCTAGTATTATAATAAAAGGGTGATATGCAAATTGACCCTAATGGAAGAACAACCAGGAACAACTGGTCACTATGCCGCACATTGACCACCAGGGGACAGATGCTCAATGCAGGGTTGCCCCCTGGTGGTCAGTGCACTTCCACAGGGGGAGCGCCACTCAGCCAGAAGTCAACTCCTAGCTGGCCAGTGTAGCAGCCATGGCCAGAGCCTCTCACACCTCCATGGCAGTGCTAAGAATGTCTGACAAGGACTTGTATGCATGCATATAAGCCTAACTAGTGGTCACAGACAACAGGGGGTGGGGCATACATGGGGAAGAGTTTGGGATGGGAATGGGGGGATGAGGACAGTTATGTGATACCTGAGACCCCCAAGTCTGCAGGCTGATGCTCTATCCACTGAGCCAAGCCAGTCTTGGCTAACTATCTTCATTTTTAAAAAAAATATTTTTTCTTTTTGCTTTTCTAATTGTATGTTTTCTGCTTCCTCATCTTCCAAATTTCTGATTTGATACTCTGCTTCATCGAATCTACTATTTATTCCCTCTAATGCAGGCGTCTTCAAACTACGGCCCGCGAGACACATGCGGTCCGCAGAGGAATCTGATCAGGCCCGCCAGGTTTTTTGGGCAGTGAGCGCAGCCGAGGTGTTACAGTAGGAATTAGTAGTTCATATAGTCCGGCCCTCCAGCTCTCTGAGGGACCGTGATCTGGCCCCCACTTTAAAAAGTTTGAGGACCCCTGCAATGTGATACCTTAATCAATAAAATAAAAAAAATTTTTTTAAAGATGTCTGATCCCCTGGGGAAGCAGCTAAAGCCCTCAGTCAGACATCCCCAGAGGGGTCCTAGATGGCAAGAGGGAGTAGGCCAGGCTGAGGGAACAATCCCTACCAGCCCTCTCCCTCTCCCCCCCTCAGTGCATGAATTTTCGTACACTGGGCCTCTAGTTGTATTATAATTAGCAGTTACAATATGTCTCTTTTACCACTAGACAGAAGCTCCTTGAAGGCAGAACTGTGTCTGTCTTGCTCATTATTGAATCATCAGAGTTGGGTTAGAATGGATGTTAAATAGTCTTGTTAAATCCATTGATGAGTTTTAGAAATGTGACAAAGTGATAGAAAGCATTTATAGCCCTGAGACCCCTGCATCTTTCTGTGCCCTGCAGCAAATATTCATAGGCTGTGAGTCTCTGCACTCAGAGGTGCAGAGAGATTATCTCCTATCTCACGGTGCCTCAGAATCTCTGAGCTGGAAGGGACTTCTGTGGACCCCTGTGTCCAGCCTCCTACAGAGAACGGTCTCCACCACGGCTTCTCTGAGAGGAGTTTTCCAGCCTGGCCCAAGTGCTTCCAAAGACGATCACTACATGGTTATGCTTTGCATGTTACAGAAACTGCAACTAAAAGTGCAAACAAATGGAGGTTTATTTCCTCACATACCAAGAAGGCCCTGGATAGGTAATTGGTGACCCTGGTTTAGTAATTCAGTGCTGTCTTTGGGGCTTTGATTATGGAATGGCTGCCACAGCTCCAGGCATCATATTCCATTAAAAGCAAGAAGAAAGGAAAGGGGGGCAGTGCCATTAAGCTCTCCTCTTCTGACTGCCCCCCCCCTTTAAATATATTTTTATTGATTTCCTAGAGGGAGAGATATATCAGTATAAACAACAAAAATGAGAATCATTGATCAATTGCCTTCTGCAATGCTCCCCAGTGGGAGTGAGCCCACAAGCCAAGCATGTGCCCTGACCAGAATCAAACCGTGACCTCCTGGTTCATAGGTCGATGCTCAACCACTGAGCCATGCCAGCTGGGCACCTCTGCTGCATTTTGTTGAAAGAATGCTGGAGTGGGAGCAAGGAGATTGGAGTTCTCACCTCAGCTTTACAGTGTTCAAGCTGTGTGGGAATGGGTGCCTCTTGTCTTATTTGGGCCTCATTATCCTCAGCTATAAAATGGGAGGGTCAGACTAGATGCTCTCCAAAGTCCTTGTCAGCAATATCACTCTGATTTCTCTGCTTCTCTCACAAGCCTGAAGACACCAAGAGATGGAAAAATAGGCCCTTGTTTTTTGTTTGTTTTGCTTGTATTACCTCTGCTTGGGCAAACTATTCCAAGCAGCTGGGACACCTGTGCCACTGTCTTGGTGCCACAACCCCCCACCCTCTGCCCGGTGTCAGCTGGCTCCTCCCCAGGGGTGCAGATGCCAAATGAGCATACTGGAATGGGGTATTAAAAGTTTCAGCCTTGGTCCCTGAAACACTTGATTTCTGCTTGATGCCTGCAGCCATGTGGCTGCTTCTCCTACTCCTGCTCTGGCTGAGTCCTGTGGCCCCAAACTGGGAGACAGGTGAGGAGCCCGGTTAGCTGGTCAAAGGGGCCCAAGCCTCTAGCATCTTTCTTCTTTCTTTCTTTCTTTCTTTCTTTCTTTCTTTCTTTCTTTCTTTCTTTCTTTCTTTCTTCTTTCTTCTTTCTCTCTCTCTCTCTTTCTTTCTTTCTTTCTTTCTTTTTCTTTCTTCTTTCTCTCTCTCTCTCTCTCTCTCTCTCTCTCTTTCTCTCCCTCCCTCCCTTCCTCCCTCCCTCCTTCCCTCCCTCCCTCCCTCCTTCCCTAACTCCCTCCTTTTCTTCCTCCCTCCCTCCCTCCTTCCCTTTCTCTCTCTCTCTCTCTCTCTCTCTCTCTCTCTTTTTCTTTCTTTGAATATATTTTATTGATTTTTTTTTTTTTTTTTTTTTTTTTTTACAGAGAGGAAAGGAGAGGGATAGAGAGTTAGAAACATCAATGAGAGAGAAACATCCATCAGCTGCCTCCTGCTCACCTCCTACTAGGGATGTGCCAGCAACCAAGGTACATGCCCTTGACTGGAATCAAACCTGGGACCTCTTGATCTGCAGGCTGATACTCTATCCATTAGCCAAACCAGTTAAGTCTCTTTCTTTTATTAGTTCATTTGTTCATTCATTCATTCATTTGTGTCCCTGGCGTGATCTATCTCTTTGGGGTTAATATTTACTAACTCACTAATTAAGTAATCCATTTATTCAGACTCATACTAAGCACTTGCTAGTGTACTGTGGCTTCTCAGTGTATCCATCCTTATATTTGTAAGATGGCCTTTGGTGATTAACCCAGGAAGGTCTGTTTTGGTTGGGGCATCCAGAGGAGTGTCGAGAGGTTCCTGTGAGTAGAGGTAGCATGGGGCTCTAGAATGTGCACTATTGCGGAGGGAGGATGGGAAGGGGGAAGGTGGTGTGACAAACCCAGATCCAGATTAACTGGGCAACTGCCATGCCCCAACCTGTTAGGTTTGCTCAGACATCCCTGGGGATGCGATGATGGATAAAGCTGTGTTCACCAGCCCGCTGGCGTGGCTCCGTGGTTGAGCGTTGACCTATGAACCAGGAGGTCACGGTTCAATTCCAGGTCAGGGCACAGGCCTGGGTTGCCGTCTTGATCCCCGGTGTGGGGAGGGGGACATGCAGGAGGCAGTCAATCTATAATTCTTTCTCATCATTGATATTACTCTCCCTCTCCCTTCCTCTCTGAAATCATATATATATTTTAAAGTTGTGTTTACCAGAACTTCTTTGGTAAAAAGCTAGCTGTCAGTGGTGGGGATATACTGAGGGTGGAGCCTTAAGGGACATGCTTAGGTAATAACAGACATGTAATTAAATGCTTTGTGACAAAGGACTTTGGGGGCAGGACAGGGCTTCAGTTTTGCTGAGTCGGGTTTGCAAGTTTGGGGTCGGAGCAGGATTGTTGGGAACCGCAGCGGGGAGGAGGAGGCTGCCCTGTGCCCCCCTTCCTCGCTCTTCCCCAGCAGTGCTCACCCTCTTCAACATACAACTGTAAACATGTTTGAAGAGTATTGCTCTGGAGGCGTGCAAATTATTAGCGTTGTGTTCTTCAGCCAGCCCCGTGGGCCTCTTCCTGGCTCCACAACTCGTCCCTTTACTAGCCTCTCGGTCTGAAGCCAGTGGGATGGTCACAGAGGAGCCACTTTCAGGGCTTCCGAAGCCCTTCTCTGAGGGCTCCCTGCGCGCACCCAGCCCTGTGGCTCTCTCCGCTTAACTGCGGCGCAGCGCTTACCTCTCAGTACGATGACATTCTGGTTACCTGTAGTATAATGATGCTCTGTTCACTAGCCTGAACTCCTGGAAGGTGGGGGCGGGTTGGGGGGTGGGGAGGAGGCACAGCACAGTGGAATGTATCTCCATGATCCACCATGGTATCTGGCTCAGTGTCACTCAATAGAACAAAATGAATGAATGAATGAATGAATGAGTGAGTGAATGGGTGCTTGGTCACTATGGAGGGAGACTTCCTTTCCCTTACTGTACTGTCATTTTTCTGATGGTACCAGTCAGGACTGTTAGAAACAGTAACTTTCTTCTGGCCCGTGGACACTGTGGGAGCTCAATGTGAACCCCAGGATTCTTTTTCTTAATATGTTTTTTTTAATTTCAGAGAGGAAGGGAGAGGGAGATAGAGGAAGAAACATCAGTGATGAGAGAGATACATCAATAGGTTGCCTCCTGCACCCCTCTCACCGGGGACTGAGCCTGAAACCCTGGCAGGTGCCCTGACTGGGAATCAAGCCATGACCTCCTGGTTTATGGGACAACACTCAACTACTGAGCCACATGAGCTGGGCTCAATTAAGATCTTTTAAATTAGCTGAAACCTGTTTGGCTCAGTGGATAGAGCGTTGGCCTGCGGACTGAAAGGTCCCGGGTTCGATTCCGGTCAAGGGCATGTACCTAGGTTGCGGGCACATCCCCGGTAGGGGGTGTGCAGTAGGTGGCTGATCGATGTTTCTCTCTCATTGATGTTTCTAACTCTCTATCCCTCTCTCTTCCTCTCTGTGAAGAATCAATAAAATATATTTTTAAAAATCTTTTAAATTAAATTAAGAAAAAATTATCTGGCATAAGAAAAATGCATTTTCTGCCTTCACGTTTCTGGTATGGAAGACAGATATACACCTCCAGAAAGAAGGCTGTAACAATAATGGAGACAGGGATTAATGCTATGTTAGAAGTTAAAATCAGTAGGTTTTAACAGTAAGAAGAAAAGGTTAATCTCTGCTGGGGGTATATGTAGGAGGGCCTCTCAGAATAAATCAAATTTATTTAAAAAGCTATTATGGAAAAATTTCTTTTTTTTTTTAAATGACTTTATTTATTTTTATTTTTTTATTTTATTGATTCTTTACAGAGAGGAAGGGAGAGAGATAGAGAGCTAGAAACATTGATGAGAGAGAAACATCAACCAGCTCCCTCTTGCACACCCCCCACTGGAGATGTGCCCGCAATCAAGGTACATGCCCTTGACCGGAATCGAACCCCGGACCTTTGAGTCCGCAGACCGATGCTCTACCACTGAGCCAAACCGGCTTCGGCAAAAAAAAATTATTATGGAAAAATTTCAAACACACACAAGTGTAGACAGAATAGTGTAATGAACCAAATGTACCTATTGGCTAGCTTCAAAATTGTCAACTCAAGTTCTTATCCACCGTATTTTATAACCACAATACGGTATCAGAGCTGAACTAATTAAAATAATTACCTACTATCATTTGATGTCTATCAGTGTGCTTATTTCTCCAACTGTCAGAAAGGAATTTTTGTAGTTGGCCTATTTAAATCAGGATCCAAACAAGGTCTATACATTACATTTAACTTATCTATTTCCTAAGTCTCTTTAAATCTATATCCACCCCTTCTTTCTTCTTTTTTTTTCATGCTGTTGAAGAAATCAGGTCAATTGTCCTGCAGAATGTCCTACACTGTGGACTTGTCTGAGAAAATCGCTGTGGCTGTCCCTCTGTCCTCTGAATTTTCTGAAACCTAATAGTTGAGGTATTTCTTTTGGCAGGAATATCCATAGGTGGGCTGTGCACTTTCTATTGCATCCTGAAGGAGACACACAGCATCTCAAAGGAAATGCACAATGTTCAGTTGTCCTATGTTTATTGGTATTAAAGTTGATTAGTTAGATGCATCCATTTATTGCTGGTTTGACTAATTTTTTTCATTAGTGGTTGCCAAATGGTGGTTTTCTAATTCTGTCATTCCTTCTGCATTTATTTGCTGGAGTTTTTCTATAAAGAAGACACTCCCCTTTAGTTTGTATGAAAAGATTATATGAAAGTTTGATTCTTTATTTGTCATTTTCAGAATAATTTGTCATTTTCAGAATAATAAGCTAGTTCCTTAGCAGCCCCAGGAAGGTTGAATTTAAGCATGACCTTGAAAAATAAAAATGTTTTCTTCTAGTGCCTATGGGAGAAAGGGTCTTTCAAGCAGTGGAAACAGCTTGAACAAAGACTCAAAAGCAGAAGTCTGCAAAGTGCTTAGAGAGCGGCAGAGATTGGTGGCAAGTGCAACCAGAGGGTTCTTTTTTAATGTGAACCTGAGCAGGGTGTGGCGGCTCTGTCATTCACTCAGGCATGACCTTGAGAAAATGGCTTTTCTCTTTCTAGATCAGTGGCTTTCACACTTTGCTGACTACAATCCACATTAATGAATATATTTTACACTGTGCCCGAGAACTAGTGCATACATGTATATAAAAACAAACAAAAAAATTCATAAAGAACTCTAAGCAACTTATACTTATGCTAGAAGCCCAGTGCACGAATTCATGCATGGGAGGGGTTCCTCAACCTGGCCAGTGTCTGGGACTGATTGGGGCCAGCGGTGGGTGGGAGGTGAGGAGGGAGCGTGTGAGGTTAGCTGGCTGCGAGAGGTGGGCTGTGGGAGTGCACTGACACCAGGGGGCAGTTCCTGCATTGAGTATCTGCCCCCTGGTGGCCAGTGCATGTCATAGTGACTGGTCGATCAAAAGTTCTGTCGTTTGGGCTCATATATATATATATAAAATATATATATATATAAAATATATATATATTTATATATATATAAAAGATATATGTTTATAGATATATATTTATATATATAAAAATATATATTTATATATAAAAAAGATATATATATAAAATATATATAGATATATATTTCTTTTTATATATATATAAAATATATATCTATATATCTATATATATTATATATATTTATATGTATAAAAGAAATATAGATATATAGATATATAGATATATATATAGATATAGATATATATAGATAAACAGTGTATGCAGATATTTTCTACTCTGTTCTATTCTACTCCTATCCTATCCTAACCTACCCTATCCTATCCTATCCTATCCTAATGAATGCTGGTCATGACCACTTAATTGGTCTCTGACTCACAAATGGGATACAACCCTTGTTTGGATTGGTTTCTGGGGCTCTTTCCAGCTCCAATCCATTTCGATCCATCCCTGGTATTGGTGACAACCTGACGCTGGACCAGGCACTTGGGAAGAGTGATGGTGAGAGAGGAAACTAATCATTTGCAGGAGGCTCCTGAGCTAACCATGAGGCAGAAGCCAGGCCACACTCAGAGGCCCCCACCCCAGCCCACCATCACCTTGAGAGGTCTGACCTCCTGGGCCACTGCTCCCCTATCCCCAGACACCCATGATCCCTGTTTCCATAACAGGCTGGTTTGGACACCTAGTCCTCTCAGAGGCCTGCTTCCTGTTGATCATGTCAACTTTGGAAGGCCCTCAAGCTTATCCCTAAACAAAGCCCCAGGTGCAAACCTACCAGGAGGCAACCGGGAAGGTCAAGTTCAAGCAGAGCAGAGCAGTGAGAGTCCTGGGCATGAGAGCACGGGGACCGACTCCCACTGAGCCCCAGGATTACTAGGTCACCGGGACCACGGCCCCCCCCCCCCGCCAATGCCTTTCTTCCCCCATCTCTTAAAGAAGATAACCCCTCTCACTGTATAGCGGACGGCAGGAATCAATACTTCATTCTTTTTCTTTTTTTAATTTATTGATTTTTACAGAGAGGAAGGGAGAGGGATAGAGAGTTAGAAACATTGATGAGAGAGAAACATCAATCAGCTGCCTCCTGCACACCTCCTACTGGGGATGTGCCCGCAACCAAGGTACATGCCCTTGTCCGGAATTGAACCCGGGACCTTTCAGTCCGCAGACCGATGCTCTATCCACTGAGCCAAACAGGTTTCGGCTCAATACTTCATTCTTTTTTCTGACTTAATAATATTTCATTGTGTAGATATACCTTATTTGTTTTATCCGTTTATTAGTTGATGAATGTTTGAATTTGTTTTGGCTGTTATGAGCAATGCTGCTAAGAACATTCATGTGCAAGTTTTTATGTCACCATATATTTTCAGTTTTCTTAAGTATATACCCAGAAGTGGAATTATTGAACCACGTGGTTAATTCTATGTTAAACATCCTGAGAAACTGTCAAAAATTTTTTCTAAGTGTGTTAGCCATTTTTTCAATCCCATCAGCAATGTATGTAATTTCTCTATACTCTCACCAACACTTGTTATTTTTTAAATTTTATTTTAGCTATCTTAGTTGGTGTGGAGTGGGACTGAGAGTGGGGAAGGACGTGCAATGAGGATAGAGCCACAGTTGTCTAATAATTATTCACCTCACTACCTATAGTTGGGAAGTTTTCTTACAGGCCCTGGGAAACGGGAGGAAGAAACAGGCCTGTAAAAGGTAAGATACCTCGGAGCCCAAATAGGGCCAGGACTCAGGAAAGGGATACATTGTGAGAACAGACCAAGGACAGGACACACTTTGATTTGGTTGCTGCACCTAGACTTCGACCCCCTCCGGGAGTTTTTCTCAGGAACGCTGACCATTCTCCGGTTCCCATTAGCCACCTTGCGATCAGACTTTGAGCTTCCAAGGCCGGACTGCAGACCCTCCCCTCCCCTGTCCATGTTACACCTGTAGATCGCAGCTGCGTGTAGCTATCTTCTCCCTCCTGTGTATATAACCAGCCACTGGCAAGGGGGGGTCAGAGCAGATTTTTGTGGTGACCGACTGCTCTCCCTTACTGCTGGCATTTTGTAATAAACAGTCATCTATGACTCAACCCCGTTTCTGCTTATTTGGCCAAGTGGTGACCGGCAGCCCAGACCCCCCCCACCCCCCCGGTTGTCTGGTTACATAATTTCATTGCGGCTTTGATTTGCATTTTCTTGATGACTAATGATGTCTCAACGAGCTTGCTTGCCATTTGGATATCTTCTTTGGCTATTTCCTTTGTCCATTTAAGAATTGGCTTATTTGCGCCGAAACCGGTTTGGCTCAATGGATAGAGCGTCGGCTTGGGGACTGAAGGATCTCGGGTTCGATTCCGGTCAGGGCATGTACCTTGGTTGTGGGCATATCCCCAGTAGGGGGTGTGCAAGAGGCAGCTGATCGATGACTCTCTCATCGATGTTTCTAGCTATCTCTCTCCCTTCCTCTCTGTACAAAATCTATAAAATATATTTAAAAAAAAAAAGAATTGGCTTATTTGACTTTTTTTTTTTTTTGAGTTGTGGGAGTTCTCACATATTCTACATAAAATTCTGATCACATATATGATTTGCAGATATTTTTTCCCATTCAATGAGTTGTCTTTTTACTTTCTTGATAGTATCCTTAGAGGCACAAAACATTTAAATTTTGGTCGTCTAGTTTATCTGTTTTTTCTTTCTCACTTTTGTTTTTGGTATCATAACTGAGAAATGCTGGCTTAATCCTAGGCCATGATGATTTACATCTATGTATTTGCCTAAGAGTTCTATAGTTTTAACTCTTACATTTAGATCTGTGACCCTTGCCAAAACCGGTTTTGGTTCAATGGATAGAGTGTCGGCCTGCGGACTGAAAGGTCCCGGGTTCGATTCCGGTCAAGAGCATGTACCTTGGTTGCGGGTACATCCCCAGTAGGGGGTGTGCAAGAGGCAGTTGATCGATGTGATTCTCTCTCATCAAAGTTTCTAACTCTCTATCCCTCCTTCTTCCTCTCTGTAAAAAATCAATAGATCTGTGACTCTTTTTGAGTTAATTTTTGTATATTCTGTAATGTAAAGGTCCAAATTCATTCTTTTGCATATGGATATACAGTTTTCCAGCACCATTTGTTAAATATATATTTTGTTGTTGTTGCTGTTAATCTTCACCAAGGATTTTCTCTTTCCTCGCTGATTTTTAGAGAGAGTGGAAGGGAGTGGGAGACACAGTGAGAGAAACGTGGATGTGTGAGAGGCACATGGATTGGTTGCCTTCTGCACGTGCCCCAACCAGAGATCAAGCCTGCAACCGAGCTATGTGAGCTTGACTGGAATCAAACCTGAGACCCTTCAGTCTGCCGGTCGAAACTCTATCCACCGAGCAGATAGACTAGAGCTAAATATTTCTATTTGTAATGTCTCCCTTTCTGCAGGCAGCTGCTCCCAGGCCCAGCCCTTCTGCTGCCCTGGAACAGATAACCACTGCAAGAGAGGAGACTGCTTCTGTGATGACTTCTGCCGCGAGCTCTCCGATTGCTGCCCAGACCACCACGCCCTCTGCAGCCCTGGCAGCTCACACGCAGGCTCCTCCCCTCCGCTGAACGCTGTGATTGACAGAGGCGAGCCCCTCCTATCGACTGCAGGCCAAGGTCAGCATGTGAACCCTGAGGCCCCTAACAATCCTGGGAGCCTGACATTCTGTCCACGTTGCATCAAAAGTGCCTGCACATTCCTCGCAGCTTTGTTTCCCACGGCTCCTGACCGCCTGCCGCTCCCCCTGAGCCACTTGTCCAGGTCCCACAGGAGGAGTTAGGCTGTTGGTCCCACTGGGGATCAGGGTGGCCAGTGGGGTGGTTGGGTTCTAACTGTCCCACCTCTCTTGCAGTGTAGATGCCTCTTGACTGTGCCATGTAGACTCTTGAAGGCAGACAGGAGTCTGCAGGGAGGTGCAGAGGATGCTTGTTGGGCGGTAGCGGGAGGGGAGAAGGCAGGGACAGAAGAGGTGCTTTCTCTCTGTGTCCTCAGCTCCTCAGAATGCCACGATGGTGCTGCAGATGGTGTTGAGGATGGAGAACCCACCAAGCCTTGCCAGAAGCAATCTCAACTGGGTGCAGAGCATGGTGAGTGCCCTGGAGGATCTCCCGGAAAGGGTGGGGGCAGTCTGCTCCTGGCCTCCCTGGCGTCCAGGCCCCAGAGTCAGGGAGCAATTTGCTGAAGGGGCCGAGAGGCCTGAGCTGGGGTGGAGTCTGTCGAAGCCATAGTTTTAAGGTTAAGGGCCAGGATGCCTACCCATGGATACTGACACTTGGATTTCATATAATTTTCATATCTTCTGAAATATTATTATTGTTTTCTTTTTTGAATCACTTAAAATATTTTTAAAATCTTAATTTGTTCACTGTACAAAACTAGGCAGCAAGACAGATTTGCCTCATAGACTGTAGTTTGCTGTTTTCTATCCTGAATCATCCTCCGTTCTTACCTTTCTTCTGAGTCCTGGTTTTAGCCCTGACCTGTCCCGGGCTCTCTGAGCTCTCTCTCTCACTGTGTCTCCCACTCCCTTCCACTTTCTCTAAAAATCAAGGAGAGGCCTTAGCCCCCATCCTAGCACATGACAACCCTGGGAAGAAAGGCAGCATAATCCAATGAAAACAACATGGACTCGGGTTCAAATCCTGGCTCCACCACTTATTACATGGGTGACCTCATCTGTGTGCCATGGGAGCTTGCCTTGTCGGGCTGTGTGGAAGGAACTGGTTCTTGGGAGATGCACAAGAGGTAGTTGTTAACTGGAGACACACGACTAAGCTAGAGAGGGAACAGGCCTTCCCTTACTGCTCGCTGCTTACTGTTCACGAAGGTCCAGCAGTTTCTCCAAACCAGACTCCCACGGAAACCCCTCTCCGTCTCTGTGAAGCGGGCCAGGAAGAGAGCCTGACACCGCTCCTGAACTCCCCCCCCGGTCCATGGAGCAGGGCTCCCCTGCCCGCCGGGACCTGCTGGCCACAGAGGTGCTGGCCTCCCTGCTGCTTCCAACGTGGTTCAACCAGAGAAAATGGAAACCTGCTGTTTTTAATGTTTATAGAATTTAAACGTGTGTAGAATCAGCCATACAAATTATAAAACATCCATTTGACTCTTGCTCTTCATTGTTTTGTGATTGTTACAGTGAATCTAGTAAACATTTAAAAAATATTTTATTGATTTTTTACAGAGAGGAGGGGAGAGGAACAGAGTTAGAAACATCAGTGAGAGAGAAACAATGATTAGGTGCCTCCTGCACACCTCCCATTGGAGATGTGCCCACAGCCAAGGTACATATCCTTGACCAGAATCGAACCTGGGACCTTTCAGTCCGAAGGCGACGCTCTATCCAGTGAGCCAAACTGGTCAGGGTTAGTAAACATTTTTAAAAAGAAATTTAATGAGAGGTGAAGCACCATTTTTCACCCAAACTGAGCCTGTACAGGACACAATAGTTTTCTGGCCCATCACAGCCTTTGTAACACTGAATCCTCCCTCACCTGTGGACCTTGGGGCGTGTGCTATTTTTTAAAAAAATTTGTTTTGTTGAAAGTTTTGCATATGTTTCCTTTTCCCCCTATTGACTTCTCCCACCTGCTTCTTCTCTCCTCCCCCCGGCCCCCCCCCCCCTCCCAGCACATGCCCTCACTCCCTATTGTCTGTGTCCATTGGTCATGCTCACATGCATGGATACAAGTCCTTGGGTTGATCTCTTACCACTCCGCCACCCTTCCCTGCCTTCCCTCTGAGGTTTGACGGTCTGTTCAATGCCTCTATGTCTCTGGCTCTATTTTTGTTCATAAGTTTATCTTGTTCATTATATTCCACCAATGAGTGATATTTGTGATATTTATCTCTCTCCAACTGGCTTATTTCTCTTACTATAATGCTCCCTAGTCCATCCATGTTATTTCAAATGGTAAGAGTTCCTTCTTTTTTATAGCAGTGCAATATTCCAGTGTATAGATGCACCACTGTTTTTAATCCATTCCTTTGCTGATGGGCACTTAGGCTGTTTCCAAATCTTAGCTATTGTAAGTTGTGCTGCTATGAACATAGGGGTGCATATATTATTTCTGACTGGTGTTTCTGATTTCTTGGGATATCTTTCTAATAGTGGAATTACTGGGTCAAATGAGAGTTCCATTTTTAATTTTTTGAGGAAACTCCTTACTGTTTTCCACAGTGACTGCACCAGTATGCATTCCCACCGGAAGTGCACAAGGGTTCCTTTTCTCCACATCCTCGCCAGCACTTGTCCTTGGTTGATTTGTTGGTGATAGCCATTCTGACAGGTGTGAGATGGTACCGCATTGTTGTTTTGATTTACATCTCTTGGATGATTAGTGACTTAGAGCATGTTTTCATGTGTCTCTTGGCCTTCTGTATGTCCACTTTTAAAAAGTGTCTGTGGAGGTCCTTTGCCCATTTTTTGATTGGATTGTTTATCTTCCTTTTATTAAGTTGTATGAGTTCCCTGTAAATGTTGGAGATTAAACCCTTATCAGAGATTGGGTTTATTGTCAAATATGTTCTCCCATGCAGTGGGCTCTCTTGTTGTTTTGTTGATGGCTTCTTTTGCTGTGCAGAAGCTTTTTATTTTAATGTAGTCCCATTTGTTTATTTTCTCCTTAGTTTCCATTGTCCTAGAGGTATCAGTAAAGATATTGCTGTGCCCATGAGGATTTCAAAGCTCTAGGAGGATGATGCCATCAGGTGTGGGGGTCACTTTCCCTCTCAGACCTGCTCCTCCTTTATTTCTGTGAATAGATCCTTGCCCTCAAGCCTTCTGGACTCCAGACTCAGGGTCACCTTTACTTCTCTCAGCCCCTGTCCATCCCCTGCCGAGTCTTTCCACATGTACTTCCCAACGTGGTTCACATCAGCTCCCTTTACAGCTCCACTGCCCACATCCCAGCTAGAGCCTCCTCACTGGTCCCCTTGCCCTGGATTCTCCTCAAACTGGTCTCTGCCCATGTTGTACTGCTCAAAGCAAGCTCTGCTGTTGCCACTTCCCTACTCAAAAACCATCCCTGGCTTCCCACGGTCTCTAGAATAAAGGCTAGCCTCCCACTAATGGCAGGAAAGGGCCTCCTCCACATGGTCCTGAGGCACACAGTGGCCTTCTCTCCTGCTGGTGGCTCCCTTCCCCACTCCTCTGTTCCAACTGAATGGAGCGACCCACTACCCCCGCCCAAGCCTCGCTCTACATCTTTGCCAACCTGTTTTGGCTCTGTTTCTCTGAAAGCCGAACCTGAATAATTTATGTGGGAACACAGTGCAATGAGCAGAGGTGAGGGAAGGGGCAGTGGAACAGGGAAGAAGGGAGGCCCAATACCAAGATGCCTTATCACCTTGGCCCCTGTTATGGCTGCCTGGTGGCTTGATCCTGTGGGACCTCTGAGAAGCCTTATGAAATGTCTGAGAAGCGTCGCTCCCATCCCCGCGGTTTAGGGGTTGCTCTGTGGGTGACTAACTCTCCCAGGCCAGTGTTGCTGGATCAGCTTCTCCCAGAAGCATGCCCGGGGCAGAGAGCAAATGGCACATGGCAGGTCACCCCTGGTTGCTCCTGGGAAAGTGTCCTCTGCACAGTGGCTGGAGTTGGAAGCGGGGCCAAGGGGACAATGCTATTAGTCTTTAGGAAAATACAAATTAAAACCACATGATGGCTTAGCTGGTTTGGCTCAGTGGATAGAGTGTTGGTCTGCAGACTGAAGGGTCCTAGGTTCAATTCTGGTCAAGGGCATGTACCTTGGCTGCATGTTGGGAGCTAGCAGAGTTGAGGCAAGCAACTCAGTCTTAAGGAAATAGAATTAAGTTCCTTCTAGCAGAGGTTGTGTGGTGCCCTGAGGGCTTGGCCAGAAGATAAGATTAACCTGGGGTTTAGCATCTCCTGTCTTCCTGCCTCTTACCCTTCCTGATCCTCCCCCCTAGATAGCCCAGCCTTGGAATGTTGCACCTTGGAATGTCACACCGCCTCTGGCAATTAGTCAATCCTGTGTTGCCATACCAAAGACCCCCCTACATAGGCAACCCTGCCCCCCTTTGTCTCTGCTGTATAAATACAGCCATTTCAGAGAATAAAACTGAGGCTTGATCAGAACCTTGTCTTGCCTCCATTCTTTCCGCGTTCCTTGTTTGATTCATTCTCTTAGGTGGTTCCTGCGTGCCCCCCGTTGTTGTCCGGCGGGTCGGGACAGCTGCAAGCTTGATCCCCAGCCCTGGTTGGTAGGGATGCGAGCAAGAAGCAACAAATTGATGAACCCCATCGTGGACTTCCAGAACATCAGCTCTTCCCGCCAGCTCTTCCAGCCCCAGGTTTCCCCTCCTGCCCAGGGATAGGGGAGCCTGGGGGAGAGACAGCCCTGGGCTCTGATTGGGTGAGCCCCACTCATATTGCCAGAGTCTGAGCTCTCTCTTCTCTGCCAGGAAGAGTTTTTTTCAGGTGAGACTCAATGAGATGTGGCCTCTCTGCTTGGGATGCATCATCCTATGGGCCTCCTAGAGAGCCTCAACATGTGCATTTGTGGGCTGTTTGTTCTCTCTTGACTTAATGCTCATTCTCCTTCCAATGCTCAGATATCCTATCTCCAATTCCTCCTGTCCCTGCTCCATCATCTGCTACCCCAGCCTGGGTCCCAGTTTATCCCCCAGTTCTGAGATGTTCCAGTCCCCGAGTAGCTTCCTCTGTAGTGGAGTGTGCATGTGTGTGCACACCTGGCCCATCCTTCTCCCTCCCTGTGTCCTCCAAATACCTTCCCTGTGAAGGGCATTTCCTGGCAGCAGCGTGCCACCTGGGGAAACAGAGGCCTCCCTGCAATGCAAGTTAAATCCAGTGAGAAACACTCAGCCCCAAGACTGACTACGGTGAAAAGGACCAATGATGCCAATTGTTGAGACCATGGAGTGTCTGGGACTCTCATACTTTGCTGGTGTAGTGTAAGCTGGCACAATCAGTTTGGAAAACTTTTTGATGCTGTTTATTAAGGAGAAAACGTGTCCACCTACTCCTGGATATACATGGTCAAGATGTGTACAAGAATGTTCATAGCAGCTTTATTTAGAATAGTGAAACACTGGAAACAATCCAAGTGTCCATCCAAAGGAAAATGCATAAATAAATTGTGTCATATTTATTCAATGGAATCCTACACAACAACAACAAAAGAATGAAGTACTGCCCTAATCAATTTGGCTTAGTGGATAAAGCGTCGGCCTGCGGACTCAAGGGTCCAAGGTTCAATTCCGGTCAAGGGCATTTACCTTGGTTGTGGGCACATACCCAGTAGGGGGTGTGCAGGAGGCAGCTGATCAATGTTTCTCTCTCATTGATGTCTCTAACTCTCCATCCCTCTCTTTTCCTCTCTGTAAAAAATCAATAAAATATATTTATAAGAAAATAATGAAGTACTGTCACACACAACATGGGAGAGTCTTGCAGACACACTGTTAAGAGAAAGAAGCCAGAAACAAAAGAGTATAAATGCATAATTCTTCTTATATGAAGTTCAAAAATAGGTAAGCTAATCCAAGGTGATATAGGTAAGAATGGTTTTTTTTTGGGGGGGGGGGTGGATGGAGGCAAATATTGACTGGAAGGGAACACAGGGAAGCCTGTTGAAGTACTAAAAGTGTCTTCTTATTGTGAATAAAAGAAATGAATGGACAAATGAACAGAGGGCTCGCTGGAGTTTCCTGAGCTACCATCCAAGGAAACAGGGATTGGGGGCCCACTCTCAAGGCCTTGCACTCTTAGATGATTCTCACCACTTGCCCTGTATCTCACTTACACAGTCTGTGCACACTCAACGTTTTGAGCCTGTGGAGACCTACTCAGACCCCCAGAGGTGGTATAAAGGTTATTTTAAAGTGAAAACATTAAAGAAGATACAGAAAGCAATGTTCTCCCAACTTCCTTTACCTGAGGAAAGCAGCACCTTCCAAAAATGCACCTGCCATTATTCCGGTTCAGAGGGATTTTCTAGCCAATCCATCTCTCAAGGAGACAGACAGAGCCAACAGACCCTCCCAAACTTCCCTTGGAAGCCTCAGAGCCCCTCCCTCACTCTCCTCCTCTTGTTGAATTTGATAAATACACCTTTATTTAGTGAGTTACTCATTCCTGAGCAACTTCCTGGTGTACCTGTAAAGAAACTGTCTTTGTTCCTGTTAATCTGTTCTCAGTTGCTTTGCAGGTCTCCAACCACTGGACACAAGTTTTCCTTTTTTCCTTTTCTCTATGGTATTCTTCCCTATACAATTCACTTATTTATTGTGGTATTGTTTGCTATTTCCTCCTAGGAAAAGCGATAGAGTGCCTAGAACAAGGTGTAGCATATAGTAGCTCCAAATATGTGTGTACAGTCAATGAAATAGCCTCCTGTGTTGACTCTGGGTGAGAACTGAGTTTGGCTGAAATGGGGGTCCAGGAACCGTCTGATTATTATGGCCCTGAAGCTAAGAGTCACGTGTCCAGGCTTGGAAATTCGACCAGACATATAAACAACAATTGCAAACCCAGGAAAGCATTCAGTCAGCTTCCCTCCAGGAGAATTCCTCATCTCCTTATCTACCAAGGCAGAGCCGGGCTGTGGATCTTGATGAAAAGAAGAAGAATTGGAGAATGTGGGTGTGTGTGGGGAGGTTGGGGGTTGGTGAAAAGGCACCTTGAATTCCTCCATAGATTAAGCCACGGGCTGCTGGAATGAGGAAGTCCCTTTCCTGGCTGGGGTGGGACTGAGGCTGCCCAGCAGGGAAGGGAGGTGGCAGAAAGGAGTTGCTTTCTTGCTGGATTTCTCTTTGTCTTTGCTGAGAGGAAATTGTTGTGGGGTTGAAATCTGGGTTCAAAATAAGACCACCGGAGGCTGATGATTAATTAAAAAAAGCAGGCAAGGATTTATTGAAATATCTGGCCAGGACAGCCGCGAGAGCACCACACACAGGTGGTCTCCACACGACTGCACCGTTTCAGGGGTAGGCAGTCCCTTTTAAAGGTTCAAACCACAGAAATTTTCCTTTGTTCTAAATTCTAAATCCTAAAGACTACATTCTAAAGACTGGGGTCAGCCCACAGGGTCGTTGCTAACCGCATCCTGCAGGACATTGGAATGTGGCCCTATCTTGCGATAGCCGATAACACAGGAGGAGAGCTCAGAGATTATCTACAGTTTCTATCCCTGAAGCTACTGAGTCAGTGGGAATCAATCTCCGGTGGTCCTGGTCCCAGGCAAGGGAAAATTGTCTTAGGCTCCAGGTCTCCACCTGGAAGCTGAAGTAAGTATTCTGTATTTAGTCAGGCAGGAGCCAGACTTGGCAGGGTTAAAATTCAAACAGCAGTTTTTACCAAAGTATGGTTGCCACTATATTTCAGAAATCTCACACTAGATTGCACATTACTGAGCAGGGTCCAGCTGAATTCAGTCACTGGTGTAGCCCTGGACCCTTTCTCTGCACCTAAACCCCACGAAGGGGAAATCCACCCTCCCATTTTAGAAAGTCACGCACTGGGGTTGAATGGGAGGGCTCAGCCTGTCAGGAGGAGTCTGCAGATTAATGGTGTCATTGGACCTGGAGTCTAAGATCCTTGACACCAAGTGCTGGGTTGTACCCCAGATGGAGCCCTTCAGCTTCTCCCAATACAGTAACCCCTCACCACATGCCCTGGAGCAGTGGTCTGCAAACTCATTAGTCCACAAAGCCAAATATTAACAGTACAATGATTGAAATTTCTTTTGAGAGCCAATTTTTTAAACTTAAACTTCTTCTAACGACACTTCTTCAAAACAGACTTGCCCAGGACGTGGTATTTTGTTGAAGAGCCACACTAAGGGGCCAAAGAGCCACATGTGGCTCGAGAGCTGCAGTTTGCTGACCCCAGTCCTGGAATGACCTGGGTTAGTCAAGGTCCTAAATAAATAAATAAATAAATAAATAAATAAATGTTTGGGTTCTCTTTTCTGCTTCTTCCTTAATGGTGGCCCAGGAGCTGTGTGATCGTGGACAAGTTATCTGTCTTCTCTGGGCTCTGGTCCACAACAGCTCCACAATCCTGTTGGCCACGAGGTCTGAGGTTCTGCACTGGGTCTGTGACTGTCTTCCAGAACCTAACCCTGCCCTGGAGAAAGGCCTCTGCTGCTGGATGTTGTGGGGTGAAGGGTGGAGACAGAGGGAAAGTGTGTGAAGCACCATCTCCCATGATCTCCTGGGCTGCAGGACCCAAGGCTGAATGTCACCGTGAAAGAGATCCCATGTTTTCAATGGAAACTCCAGAGAGGAGAGGGCTCTGGGCAAGGGGGCAGGAGAGTTATCTTGTGGCCAGTGCTCAGGCTGTGCATGGATGATCAGCTGGCCGCAGCCTGGAAACTACCAGGTGACACCTAGGCCGGTGGCCGGCCCCTCCTCTCTGGGGAGAGGAAGCAGGAACAGGTGGCTGTGAGAGGCAGTGGGGAGACCTGCTGAGCAGCGGTGGCTGGAGTCCCAGCTAGGATGGGCTCTCTGTGGGCCCTGGCTCTGCCCCTTCTCTGCTGCTGCTGGGAGGCTGGCGCCCCTGGGAGCTCTGCAGGTAAGAGGGCAGGAGGGTCCCGTGGCTCCTTTCCTGGCAGCACCCTGGGGGTGTGTTTCTGTCCCAGCAGCCTTTGTGTGTGAGGGGAGCTCTCTTGGGCTCATTAAAATGAGCCATAAAGCTCAATGTGAGGTGTTACTTTTGTTATAGAAAGACTTGTCCACCCAGTGCTAGCCGAGCCAAACCCTAGAATGTCAGTGCAGACAGATATTATTGATGAATGGCGCCATCCAGGGGAACTGAAGCTATGCTCCAAGTCCGAACTCGCTGGTGGCAAGTCGGTTACTGAATATATGGGGCAAAATCTCAAGACACCGTGGGTTAGGGAGCTCCAGGCATGCTGCGAGTAGACACATACCCTTGGTCAGAGGTGAAGGTAATACATTATTTCTTCAGGTCGTGAGGACAGCTCTGCAGTCTGTTCTAGTCTCATGGGAAAACAGCCAGGGGGTGGTTGCTTCTCAGGGCTCAGGAACTGAGACATAACTTAGACCAAGATGTTACCTTTAGCCTGCCGGAGGCTGGAGGTCGGGCCTTGTAATCATTAGTCAGGTCCTGACAACTGGCTTTCTCTGCCTGGGGCTTGCTGCTGATGGACAAAGGCGGTCTTTGGGTTGTAGATAATAGAGATATGATTTCTAGAGCTAGGATTTAAAGCTGAATTTAATCAAAGTCATCAGGACCCTGGGTTTCACTATCATTGATAAAGAGTGTGCCGATGGCAGTGTGTCCCCTTAAGTTTGTATGAAACTGTGGTGCTTACAAATGAGCAATATCATTTGAGGTTCCCAGGAGTTTGTTTTTCTGCTTGTGGGAGCGTGGGAGGGCCAGGCTGGTGATAAATATGACTGAAGCCAAAGAATGTGGCTGGACAAGATTCTAACTCCTCCAAGTTTATCCTTAACAAAACACCGTTTTTGTGTGAAACACAGACTGCTTGGGAGGTGGGGGTGGGGGTGGGGGTGGATTCTGAGAGAGACAGGACTTCTATGAAAGAAGAGAATTAATATTGATGTGTATTAGGGACTGTGCCACGCTGGTCACATGCATTATCTTTTTTTTTTTTTTTTTTTTTTTTTAATGGACTTTATTTTTAAAAGCGGTTTTAGGTTCATAGCAAAACTGAACAGAAAGCCGAAACTGGTTTGGCTCAGTGGATAGAGCATCAACCTGCAGACTGAAAGGTCCCAGGTTCGATTCCGGTCAGGGCATGTACCTTGGTTGCAGGCACATCCCCAGTGGGAGGTGTGCTGGAGGAGGCTGATTGATGATTCTCTCTCATCGATGTTTCTAACTCTCTATCCCTCTCTCTTCCTCTCTGTAAAAAAAATCAATAAAATATATTAAAAAAAAAAAAAAAAGGAGCAGAAAATACAGAGATTCCCCCCTCCCCCTCCACCGCCCATCCTCAAATACACACACAGTGTCTGCCACTAGCCACATCCTGCAGCAGTGTGGTCCCGGTGTTATAATCAATAATCCTCCATTGACACATCCTTATCATGCATTATCTTTTTCTTTCTTTCTTTCTTTTTCTTCCCCCCCCCCCCAGCTTAAGTAATAAAAATGTATTGAGAATCCTGGGATGGTTATTACCTCCCACCGCAGAGGGTGGAGCTGACACTGTAGGAAATCCCTGAGAAATGACAGTGTCCTAACAACCCCAGCCAACACAGGAGGGGGAAAGTCATTCCCGTGAACATGGGTCAGTCTCATTCATCCAAGCAGGGCTGGAGAACAGATGCAGAGGGACCATCACATGATGCTGGGGGAGGGGCAGGGTGGAGGGTGCTGGACCCCAGGCTGGTTCCTCAAGCACCGGATCCACTTCTTCTCTAGGGGTGAGGTTCCTGGCCTTCAGGTTCTTTTTTTTTTTTTTTTTTTTTTTTTTTAAATATATATATGTTATTGATTTTTTTCACGGAGAGGAAGGGAGAGGAATAGAGAGTTAGAAATATCTATAAGAGAGAAACACCGATCAGCTGCCTCCTGCACCCCTTCTTCCCCTCCACTGGGGATGTGCTTGCAACCAAGGTACATGTCCTTGATCAGAATCGAACCTGGGATCCTTGAGTCCACAGGTTGACGCTCTATCCACTGAGCCAAACCAGTTAGGGCTCATTTCTTATCTTGAGGCTGTCATTTCCTGTTTTTTTTGTTTTGTTTTTTTTAAGACTTTAGTCCAGCTGGTGGCATGGCTCAGTGGTTGAGCATCGACCTATGAACTACGATGCCACAGGTTCGATTCCTGGTCAGGGCACATGCCTGGATTCCGAGCTCAATCCCCAGCAGGGGATGTGAAGGAGGCAACCGATCCATGGTACTCTTTTACCATGGATGTTTCTATCTCTCCGTCTCTCTCTAATATCAATGATAATAATAATAATAATAACAGTAATAATAATATTCAATAATAATAATAATAATAATAATAATAATAATTTAGTTTCTAAGAGCAGTTTTAGATTCATAGCACTTTTGAAAGGAAGGTAAGTTATATCCCATATACTGCATGCAGTGCACTATTTATTTATTTATTTATTTATTTTAAAAATATATTTTATTGATTTTGTACAGAGAGGAAGGGAGAGAGATAGAGAGTTAGAAACATCGATGAGAGAGAGTCATCAATCAGCTGCCTCTTGCACACCCCCTACCAGGGATGTGCTCGCAACCAAGGTACATGCCCTTGCCTGGAATTGAACCTGGGACCTTTCAGTCCGCAGGCCGACGCTCTATCCCCTGAGCCAAACTGGTTTTGGCTATGTGCACTATCTTTTCAATCCTCACACGAACCCTAGGAAAGAGATATGATTCCTACCCTTCCCTGAAAGGTGAGGAGACTGGAGTTTACTGGGATTAAGTAACTCATCTGCAGAGCCACACATGCCCACCACTGAGCAACCACCCACCGCTTGCATGCACTCAGATCTGCAAGGCTTGTGCTGCACATTTTACTTTTAATTTAATTGAATCTTCACAACCCTATGAAATAGGTGCCCCTCCTCCATCCCACAGGAGAAAAATGCAGCCTGGGAGCCGGGAGACTGGCCATGATCTCAGGTTGGTAAGCAGCAGGGTAAGCAGCAAAGTGATAACTCAAGCTCAGAGTCCAGAGTCCAGTTTCTTCTCAGCCAGTTCCATTTGAGGAATGGAGCAGGAGAGTTCAACAGTCTAGAGCTGTAGAGGCCTGGGTGGCCTTGAGAAGAGCCCATCTTAAGGTCTTCTGTTTGAGGAGACCCCTGGTGGGTAAGAGATATGGAGAGGGGATTGTGAGACTCCGGATGAAGAGGTTATGGGGTTGGGAAGCATGGTGACACTACAAGGCTCCTGGAAAAAGATATAAAGTGTCAGGGGAGGCCAGTGGTCAGAGCCCAAGAACCCAAACCACTGTTTGGGTTTCAGGCTGAGTGGGCTGACCCTGAAAGTCCCTGCTTGCACCGTATAGGGTCCGAGAGGCTGAGGGAAGTATCTCAGGCTTTGAAAGCGTATTCCTGTAAAAGCAGGATTTGTGCATGTAGTTAGACTGCGCTGGATTAGTCAGGAGATCGAATGTCTTGACTTGTCTAACAGGCCTGTGGGTACAGCAGGACATTCTCACTGTATTAAAATAGGTTTGTGTCCTCAAGTGACTGGCTCCTTGAAAGGACATGGTGTGTTACAGAAAACCGAAGAACAAAGCAATTCTTAGAGAGATGGAGTTACATTAATTATGAGCAGGTCCAGAGAAAAATATATCTCAAATTCTGGGCCCCAACATGCAGGAATTCTCCCTATTTATATGATGTTACCTTCTTTGTCCCCCAAATATGGAGTGTTTCCGACTCCCTTTTGCAAGTTCTTAAAGAGCCAGTGCGTACTGGGGCCTTGAGATCTCAACCAGAGGCCTGGCCTTGTGCCAGCACTGATGACCTTGTCTGGGGAAGGTAAAATCCACAAAAGCCAAATAGCAAGGTTAAAATTTCAAACAGCAGTTTTCACACAAGATGGATGCTTCAGGTGGGGAAGGCATGCTTAATAGCCCTTGCAATGATAAGGCTTTGGAATATAAGAACTTCCTGATTCCCCCCACGGCAATGCAGGACTGGGCACCTCTTTCACAGGGAGGAGATGGGGACGAGAAGAGGTCCGGTGGTTGGCCTCCTGGTAAGAGGCAGAGTCGGGATTTGCATTAGTAAATCACTGGACTCCAAGCTATTGTAGTAAGCAACAGTCCTAAGGCTGGAACCCAGTGTCTTGTCTCGTGGCCCAGTGCTTGTTCACCATTCAGTGGGAGACACCAGAGAACAAGCTGAGGACCTGGGGCCTCCCCATGACACCCCAATAGAAGTGACTGCATGGTTCTGGACCTCCTTCAAGTCCTGGGATACATTTGGGGCAGTAGATTTCGGAAAAGACCATCTCAAACCATCATAACCTTGAAAATGGGGGGCTTATACTTTTATCTTTTTCCTTCCAAGAGTAGTGTTATTAGTAAAATGCAGAGTGTTCCCTTAAATTTGAATTTCAGATAATGAAGTTTTGTTTGGTATAAGGATGTCTCAAATATTGCATGAGAAGTAAATACACATACTAAACAAATTATTTGTCATTAAAATCATTCCTTGCCCTAGTTGGTTTGGCTCAGTGGATAAGAGCATCAGCCTGCAGGCTGAAAGGTCCCAGGTTCAATTTCAGTCAGGGGCACAGTTCTGGGTTGCAGGCTCCATCCCCAGTAGGGGGCATTCAGGAGGCAGCCGATTAATGATTCTCTGTCATCATTGATGTTTCTAGCTCCCTCCTACATTCTTCCTCTCTGCAATCAATAAAGCATATTTTAAAAGAACAATTCCTTGTTTATCTGACATTTAAATTCAAATTTAACCAAGCATCTTGTATTTTTATTTGGTAACTCTGACAACCCTCCCCAGGAGGCTCCTTGGTCCACCATCAGAGAGCCCCTCCCCTTTGGCAGACAGGAGAGGCCCCTTTGTCAGCCTATGAAAGAGCCTGCTGAAGCCCCTCCTGGGCAGTGAGCACCTGCTGGCCCTCCATTCCCACAACTTCAGAGGGCTGGTCAAGTGAACAGAGACATTGTGCCCTGTGGAGAAATGCTAGGAGCATCTCTATTCAAGCTGAAGTTTTGCCTCACCTGGCTCCATGTTGCCTGTAAAAATGCCTGGTACATCATTTCTGGAGTTCTGGGGTTCCATCCCCATCATCTCAGGTCCATGTTAAGGAGAGGTTTGAGCAGGGATGGGAAGCTGGCCCCTTTATCCTTGCTAGAGCCCCAAGGACTCTGCCTGCTCCCCTCCCCTTTGCAGTACCAATACCCACATTGTCTCTGGAGGTTCCTCCAGATTATTTTAGAAAGTTTAAAAAATATATATTTTATTGATTATTTTTTTTTATTTATTTTTTATTTTTTTTACAGAGAGGAAGAGAGAGGGATAGAGAGTTAGAAACATCAATGAGAGAAAATCATCCATCAGTTGCCTCTTGCACACACCCCCACTCCCACCACTGGGGATGTGCCCGCAACCAAGGTACATGCCCTTGACCGGAATTGAACCTGGGGCCCTTCAGTCCGCAGGCTGACGCTCTATCCACTGAGCCTAACCAATTTCAGCTATTTTAGAAAGTTTTAAGAGTTGTGGTCCCTGCTCTGCAGTCCTTGGCTCACATGGACTTCTGCCTTCTCACTCCTCCTTGAGGCTGGATTCTGTCCCTACATGTTCCCTCTGAAGTCTTCAGACCGATAATCAACTAGCTTCTGGGGCTGGCTTGCCTCAAATGGCCATCAGCAGACATCAGTCAGGGCCCTCCCAGTTTTGTGGCTGCCACAGGGAACTGGTCTTCCCATTACTATCTCCTTCCTTGTAGATGTAGATGGCAAATGGGGTAAAAGCACCTTCCCCTCTCGTCCTCCTCCCAGCAGTGCCCAGGGCATAAGCCTGAGAGCTCCTGCGAAGTCAGTCCACATGGACTCATGGCTCACAAAGTTGTCTTACCCAACACAGGCGCCAGCACCCATGGACCAAGCCCTTTGGTGACAATGAATCACGCAGAAGTGCCTGCTGTGACTCTGGGAGTCAACACAAGCTTAGAGGGAGCCTCCAAGACCACCGACCTTGCTCAAGCCTATGTGCCAAGTCACAGCCCTTTAGAAACTCAAACCCTGGGCACTCAGACCATGGATAAGACCATACTCCCAGCCAGCACCATCTCAGAAGCAAAGATCAGGGAAATCCAAACCGTATCTCCTGCAACAGAGACCAGAGCCCTCACAAAAATAACACCTCCCAAGTCCATGTCTGTGGTCACTACTTCTATGGAGACATCAGACACAAGTGACAGCCCCTCAGGAACTGGAATGACCACAGTTGCGACTGTGACAGATGGTGGTCTCTCGGAAGCTGTCTTTGACACCCTTTGTACTGATGACAGCTCTGAAGAGAAGAGGATCACCATCGATGCCTTGACGTTGGCTCAGACCTCTGCAGAAGCCAGGGCTCTGGCCTTGGAGAGCAACTCAGCTTCAGATATCACCTCACAAGCCCAGCAGCCTGACATCCCTGTTCCACACAAAGCCTTGGTCACCTACAGGATCACCAACATTGAGGCTACTAATTGCAACATTGTAGAAATAGAAGAAACTGCCATCCTTCCTGGGACCTTAGGCATCGACCACAGCCCCACAGGAGGAAAGACCCCGTCCGCCCCTGAGACATCAGCTTTGCCTGACTTCACTAAAGCAAAACCACACCTCACCAGGACCACACACCCTTCTGAGGCCTCGTCAACTGACAGCACCACAGAATCAGCGGAGACCCCACATGCTGCCAACAGCCTTACCGGAGAAAGAGCAGCAGCTGAGGCCACCACCCCCAGTGGAACTTCGGTGAAGAAACCCTTGGGAGAAACCTCAGCCCCCTCTGTTGAGACAACAAGCCACGCTGAGGTCTTAGGAGCAGTTACAAGTTCCACGGAGGCTGGGTCAACAGCGGGCAGAGCAACTTCCTGTGCTGAGTCCTCAGCCACGGGCTACAGCCTCTCAGAGGTAGCCACCATCAAGGAATCTACTGGCTCAGAGACTTCTACCACAGACAGCACAACCAGTGGGCCCGTTCCCATCAGCAGGAGTCCTCTTCCTTCTGTCCATCTGGCTGCAGCCAACAGCAGCCAAGAAACAGACATCACCTTAGCCGAGACCACAGCCTCAGCAAAGACCTCGAGGACAGCCAGCAAGGCAGGAGGAAAGTCCCCAACAGCCACACCCACCGCTGCTTGGACCACAGGAGTTGCTACAGGTAAGAGAGTACCCATGTATGATCTAGGGGGATTTGAAGTTTGGAGTCTCCAGGGTGTCTACAGGAAGGAATGCCCGAAAGCCTCTTGGGAGCTCTCTTTCCTTCCTTCCTTCTTTCTTTCTTTCTTTCTTTCTTTCTTTCTTTCTTTCTTTCTTTCTTTCTTTCTTTCTTTCTTTCATAAATATATTTTATTGATCTTTCACAGAAAGGAAGGGAGAGAGATAGAGAGCTAGAAATGTCGATCAGAGAGAAACATCGACCAGCTGCCTCTGGCACACCCCCTGCCGGGGATGTGCCCACAACCAATGCATATGCCCTTGACCGGAATCGAACCTAGGACCTTTCAGTCCGCAGACAGACGCTCTATCCACTGAGCCAAACCGGTTTTGGCGAGAGCTCTGTTTCTGATGTCACCTCTTCAGGATCTCCTAGTGATTCTTGCTAAATCAGTAACAAGCAAAGTAAGGACAGTGTATGGACAGAGCGCAGGGCTGAAAGCCAGGAGAAATGGTTTGAGATCTTGTCTCTGCCCTTAACAACCTGAGTGGCCTGGGACAGGCCCCTGTCCCTCTATTGCACATGTGTCAAACACAAGGCCCGCGGGCCAAATCCGTCCCGCCAGGCCTTGCAATGTGGCCCGCACCGCGCTGTCATCACTGCACTCTGCTGCGTTTCCATCACAATGACAGTTTATGACTGTTCAGTAAACCATTCGGCCCGCGATTTAGGCTGGATTTTAGATTTTGGCCCCTTCTCTGATTGAGTTCGACACCCCTACTCTATGGGCTCCAGAAGTCCTTTCCAGCTCTGCCTTTCTGAGTAACTGCTGTGCCCCAGGTGAGTCCCCAAAGCTTATTTGAAGGACATGGCCCTCCTGCTCTGGAAGCTACTGGCTCAGCCCGAGCCACCCAGAGGAGCTTCCTGTGGGCGCCTGGCCCAAGTTGCTGCCCTCTAAGCATTTAGTACCCCATGAGAGCGGGGCTCACCGAATGCACTTGCTGAAGTTGGTGCCATAAATGGTGCCAAAATATACTGGGCAAAGGTGTGGGATTTTAAGCTACATCTGTGGGACAGCAGCTCCTTCTCAGAGGAAAGCCCTGTCCAAGGCTGCTTGGTCAGCTGACTCCTGGCCAGTCTGCCGCCCCACCTGCACTTCCTGATGCCTCATCCGCACCAAGTCCTCAGCTAGCCCTGCCTTTCTGGGAAGGTGAGATGAAAACATGAATCACAATCACCTTGCCAAATTTCTCTTGTAGTCCAGGCAGAGGTGGCATAAAAATACTGCTCAGCCGGAAGCGTTGGCACCTGCTGCGTGTTTTCTCTGATGCCAGGCCGTGCACTCTGAGCTTTGCATGTTATTTCCTCTAATTAAATACTCAAACCACCATATAATGGGTGATGAAAGATAGCTATATAATATTGATATCTAGCTATATCTACATAAATCTATTAATATAGAGATGGATATCTTACATCCTCCTTTTAAGCTTGTAGAGTGTATGATAAAGATTAGACTTTTTTATGGCTGCTCAGCATTCCATTTTGTTTTATCTTAATTTATTTAACTAGTCCTCTAGGGATGGACCTTTAGGTTGTTTAGAGAGAGGGAATTCTCTTTCTCCTTGCAGTGAGGAAACATAAGCTCCTAGGTAAATATGGACACATTTACATAGGAGATGAGCACATATATGCTGCGGGGTGGGGTTGGGGGGGGGGGAAGGACAGGGGCTGGGTAACACCATTCACATCTTGATTTCTGAATTGACTCCCCCATATTTTTATCTTCCTACTGATCTCAACTTGCAGGCGGGGATGAAGGTTTCCTCCTCCTGAGACTGAGGGTGGCCTCCCCAGAAGACCTCACTGACCCCAGAGTGGCAGAGAGACTGATGCGCCAGGTGAGTGGGTACTTTCTGGGCCAGGGAAGGAGAGGGGAGTGAGAGATTCTTGTGAACTCCTGGGAAGAGCTGCAGGAGATAGAAGAGCAACTGTGACACTCGGGAGTCTACTAGTAGTTTCCTACGGTGGATTAGAAGCTAAATTTAAGGGTCCCTGCCTGGCTTTGCTTCTGACTATTTTTGTTGAGTTCTGAATTCCCCTTCTCTGCTATGTAAAAAAAAAAAAAAAATCCTTTTTCTCACCTTCAATTCCCTCAGGCCCTTAGAAGGTCAGGCCTTCTGGCCTCTGGAAGAAGGGCAATCACATTCAAGGGCAGATAGGCAGGACTTTTGGTTGCAGGTGGCAGAAACCCAGCACAGCTTATATATCGATAGAACAGGCAAAGTATTGGCTGAGAAACCTAGAACTTCATCAAGGTTTTCTCTTTCTTCCTCTCTCTTAGCTCTGCTTATTTATTCTTCAGAGTCTCTCTCCATCTGTAAGGAGAAGTGGCTATGACAGTCCTGGAACCACAAGGCACTTCCTCTCCCACGCTAATCATGTCATTCTAAGGAAGGAATGATGCCCTTGGCCTACAAGGGCCACCATGACTGACATTCCAACCTGAACCACGTGGAAATCAAAGAATAGTCCCCAAAGGAAATAAGGATGCTAGGAAGAAAAATAAAATAAAATTCCTAGATGGGAACCAAGATTCTAGATGGGAACCAAGATTGGGCTTTACTTGTACAAGTGGTAATATTCTCCTAAAACTCAGCTCAAAGCTTCTGTGGTAAAATTATGGGGTTAGGGCTTTCCGGAATGTTTGAGTCTTTGGAAAATTAGAATGGGTCAGCTCAGTTTACCTCTTGTGCCCACATCATGCTACCAGGGAATGGGAACATTTGGGTCTTGAAGTTCTCTTAGGAGAACTCCTCAGATTTCCATAAGTAGTTTCCTGAACATGGCATGGGGTTTTGGAAGCAGGACAGCCAAATAAATGACAAATGCCCGCTGCACCTGCTAATCGAAGTAGCAAGTGTGAATCTCAGTGGAAGAGGAAAGCCAGAGTGTATCATATCTGAGGGCCCCCAAACTGGAAGCTATTTCAAGGGTCAGAAAAAATCCAGGGAGACAGAAGCATGTCAGGAGCCTGGGTGCAGGACCAGGCAATGGGGGTGTTGGACGTCAGTTCTTGGCAGCTGGCCATTGGTTCAGGTTTCAGGGATCAAACAACCATTTATGGGGCCAGATAGATCTAGCAGAGCGCCTGGCCCACAGCAGGACCACAGAGAATGTTTGTTGAAGTAACTTGAATTGCAAGCTTTGGACACGGACAGGTTTAAAAGAAAGTTTCACACAATCCAGGCATTGGGTACGTTACTCCATATACTTTCCTCTCTTATAAAATACGGCAGATACTACCTGCTTTCTAAGGTCACTGTCAGGTTTAAATGACATTATGTGCACAAAGCACCCAGGCCATGCCCAGCCTGAGAGGCTCAGGAAATGTGGGGGCCTCCTCCTTTGTTCTCCCCCACTGTCCCTTCCTGTCCTTGGCCTGTGGGGAGCACATGGGCTAGATGGGCTGGAAGCACTCACCTGCTCCTTTTGCCCTCCAGCTCCGCCAGGAACTGCACACCTACCTGCCTCCCATCCAAGTCTCTCTGCTGCGTGCCAGGAGGGACTAGAGAGCATCGGCTGTATGCCAAGAGGGGGCAGTGCTCCCTTTATCTGGAATCCACTACAGACTGGAGCCCATTGCTGTGCCAAGATGTACATGAAGGTTCCCATGGAGGTCAGCTCGCCTAAGCTCTTACCCCAGGCATGGCTGCGGGGCCCTGGCTCACATATGCCCGAGTGTATCCATGTGGTGGGTGGGGTTTCCCCTGTTCCATGCGCTTGGACTTACCACTGCACATAGTTGTTTTTCAGTAAAGAGTGACTGATCACCCAAACTGTCATCGACTGGGGGCGTCCATCCTACAATAAAATTACACTCGGTGTGGCCCAGGGGTTATCTGCTTGATCTGTGTGTTTTTGACATTTTTATGGCACAGGGATTTCGTGCATCCCCACGGCCACCTCCCTCCTTTATTGCTCCCCTGCTTCTTGGCTTGGACTTTGATTTCAGCACTTACTGAGGCTGGTGCTGGAGCCTGTTGAACTGTGAGCTCCTTTGGAGCAGGGACCATATTAGTTTATCTCTGCATCTTAGCAGAACTCTGGACACAGACAGTTTAAAAGAAAGTCTGTAATACTCAGGATCACAGAGAATGTTTATTGAATTGACTCGAACTGCAAGCTCTGGACATGGACAGGTTTAAAAAAGTCTGTAATACTCAATTATTTCTCTACTCAGAGCTCATAAATCACATTATTATTGTTTCAAATTAAATTAGATGATTATGTTACCTGTGAACAATGACAATTTCATTTCTTTCTTCCCAATCTGTATATCTTTTATCTCCCCCTCCCCCCTCCTGGTGATTGAATTAGTTAAGACTCCTCATATGATGATGAAAAGCAGTGGTGACCCTGGCAGGTGTGGCTCATTGGTTGAGTGTCCACCTAGCAACTAAGAGGTCACCGTACAGTTCCTAGTCAAGGCACATGCCTGAGTTACTGGCTTGATCCTAGTCTAGCCCTCTCCCTTTCTCTCTCTCTCTCATCAATAAAGACATTAAAAAAAAAAAAAAAGCAGTGGTGAAAAGGGATGTTTTTGTTTTGTTCCTGACCTTGGCTGGAAAGCACTGAGTTTCTCACTATTCAGTATGATGATAGCTATAGGTTTGTGTAGATTAAAAATTTTCAATTACAGTTGACATACAATATATTAGTTTCAGATGTACAACATAATAGACATTTATATGACTTACAAAGTGATCACCCCATAGGCCTAGTACCCATCTAACACCACACAGATTTCTTTTCATCAACCTGAGGAAGATGCCTTCTATTCCTAGTTTGCTAAGAGTTTTTATAGTAAATGGGTGTGGATTTTGTTAGATGTTTTTGTTTCTTTTTTGCATCTAGTGATGTGATCATATGATTTTCCTTCTTTAGTCTTTTCATGTGATAGATTACATTAATTGATTTTTATATGTTGAACTAGCCTTGCATACCTAGGATAAACACTACTTGGTTGTGATGTATAATTCTTTCTATTCATTGTTGGATTGGACTTTTCAATATTTTGTTGAGGACTTTTTGCACTTCTGTTCATGAGAGCTGTTGGTGATAGTTTTATTCATTTTTTATGGTATCTTGTTCTGGTTTGGGTATTAGGGTACTGCTTGCCTTATAAAATGAGTTAGGAAATATTCTCTCTGCTTTAATCTTCTGAAAGAGATTATAGATAATTTGTGGAATTTCTTCCTGAAATGTTTGGTAGAATTCACCAGTGAACCCATTTGGGCTATGTGCTTAATTCTTTTATTTTTAAAATTTTTATTGATTTCAGAGAGGAAGAGAGAAGGAGAGAGATAGAAACATCAATGGCTAGAGAAAATCATTGATTGGCTGCCTCCTGCATGCCCTCCACCAGGATAAGAGCCCACAACCTGGGCATGTGCCCTTGAGCAGAGAATCGAATGTGGGACCCTTCAGTCCATATGCCAATGCTCCACCCACTGAGCCAACGGGCTCGGGCTACTGCTTCTACTCTTGCTGTACTTAGAGGAGCACACCACACAGTTCCTTTCCCTCTCTCCTTCCCCCACAGGCACGTATCCCTCAAGTCTAAGGGACTCCATAAGACTTGCAACCAGGGGAGCAATGGGCAGTGGCGGTTTGTCCCAGGCTAACCCCTGACCCTGTCTCCAAGGCCCCCTTCCCTCTGACTTCCCAGGGAGCCAAAGCAGCCTGGCCTGGGCTCTCCTGTTGCTTCTTCTATGCCCTTCCCTGTTCCACTGTCCTAAGTCTATTTTTGCTGCCTGTGCCTCTCAATAAATTCTTACTTGCTTTTCAACATTTTGAAATATTTTCTCTAGATTGAAATCTTTCTCTCAAGAAGACAAGAACCAAGGTCTCCTCATCTCCTTGGTAACAGAAGGACAAAGATTACAAACAGAAGTAGGCAAAAGGAATAAGAAAGAATGCATAAAATGGCTATAGATTATAGGCAACGGATGTGTGTGTGTGGTATGCAAAGGGTGAGTGCCTTCAGGTCTCTATCTTTCCGTGGTGATAGGCAGTTCCTGGAAAAGGAGGTTAACCCCCATGTCCCTTGGGGGTGGAATTCCCAGCCAGGTTAGAATGTGCTTTCTCTAATCAGAACAGTACAGTCACGGTTAACAGAGCATACTCACTATTTCTACAAATATAGCTAGTCCTCAATATTCTATTTCTGCTCCACAAAAATTCTTCACAGGTTCGAACGTTTCTACGTTGACAAGCAGTACCAGTTACTAAAATATTGAAATACTAGATACTGTTTGGAAATGGCTGAGGCCCCTGAACAGTCCCTTATCACCTTGGTCCCCAACCTCCCTGGGTGGGCACAGTCAGGGGTTGGGTACCTGGTGCTCACTAGCTTGTTTTCTGAGCCCATTTCTTCTATGAATTACTTCTCCTACCTCTTGGTTTTCTAAATCAATGTCCTCTTATAGTCTGAGTCTTAACTCTGAATTCTTTTCTAGCCAGAACTCAAGCACCAAAGTTTCTAAACCCAGGTCCACTCTGGTCCCACCTAACACTTGGTGCTGTTCTTGCCACCTCCGGCGGAGGTTTGCAAGAACTGAACTAGCCATTTTTTCCTGGTGGCTTACAGCAGTCTGCTGCCCAGGCCATGTCAACTGGATAGTGACAACTCTGGGCTTGCCTCTGCTCCTTTAGTGTGTCTTCCTGGCCTCAGGCCTGAGGAGGGCTTTGAGGTGTGAGTTCTCCTCCCGCAGGGGGATCCCCTTGTGCTGAACTGGACCTCCCCACGATGGTGACTTGTGGACTCTGGGAGGCATTCTTTTGGGAGGTGGCCTGATTCCTCCCATCACCCCTGCTCCTACTCAGGGCCTGAGAAGAATTTTTCCTGGACAAACTGATGTTCTCCTCTACCTAGGAGAGGGGAATAGTGTCCTCATGGCCTAAGGTTAGCTGGCAAGAGGCCAAGAGGAATGGCTCAGGCAGGCGCTGGTGTCCAGGCTGGGAGGAAGATGCCCATGTCCAGAGCACCCTTAGGAGCAGGGGTCTTCAAACTACGGCCCGCGGGCCACATGCGGCCCGCAGAGGAGTCTGATCCGGCCCGCCAGGTTTTTTGGGCAGTGAGCGCAGCCGAGGTGTTACAGTAGGAATTAGTAGTTCATATAGTCCGGCCCTCCAGCTCTCTGAGGGACCGTGATCTGGCCCCCACTTTAAAAAGTTTGAGGACCCCTGCTAGGAGGGTGATGGGAGCAGTGTGATAGGTGACGGCTCAGGGAGGAGGATGGATCGTCAGGTACAATTCTTGGCCTGAAGACACGTCCTCTCAGGGGATGGTGCTCTTCTAGGGCAGAGACCAGTCCTTCCCCACAGAGAGGTCACCTGAGGACCCACCTTTCTGACCCCTGGTGGCCTCTTTCTTCCTGAATCTGCCTTTGCTTGGCTGATTCCTGTCAGGGTCGTCCTCATGTTGTAGCTGCTGTAGTCCCACAGCCACTGGTTGTCCCTTAGCACCAGCTTTTCCTGGCATGCATGTGGGGTTGGCGGGGCGGGGAAGTGGGGAGAGTTTGGGGTAGGCCTGCACCCCATGGCTGTATGAGCCGTGGACATCTCTAAGGAGGAGTGTTGGGCAGGTCAGTGAAGTGACAGGGAGGTGTGGGACCTGAATTGGGGCATGGGGACACCATGCCATGATCTTGGCACAATGGAGTCTTGGCTGCTTCTGGATTTAAGGCCTCACTAGGAAGGTGAGAGCCAATCTTGGTAGAACTAGTGATTTCTCTGATGCCAATTATTATAGCTGGAAAGAGGAGTGTAATTAAAACTCTGCCTTCCCAGGACTTGATGTCTGTGCACAGCCTTTACTCTAGACTTTAAATATACACTGAGTGGTCAGACTATTATCATCTCTGAACTAATCAGGCCACTCAAAAAAAATATATATATATATATATTTGAGGCCTGGTGCATGGATTCTGCAAGGGTAGGGTCCAGTCAGCCTGGCCAGGGGGAGGGGACATGGGCGGTTGGCCAGCCTGCCTGCTGGTCAAACTCCTGGTCGAGGGAACAATTTGCATATTAGCCTTTTATTATATAGGATATACAGTGAGTGGCCAGATTATTTTGTGTTCAAAGACCATAATGATCTGGTCACTCAGTGTATACACATATGTTGCATACAGTATATACATAATGAGTGTATATTTAAATATTTATATATTTACATACTTATAATATATTGTGTACATACATGTGTGTATATTTATGTATCTATATACCTATGCATTTAGCATAACTATATATACACAAACACAATCACACACATCTATCATTATCTTATTCCTTTTCCTATTATCTCCCTATTTATCTATCTTAAAAACCAAGAAGTCATATGATACCTTCAGGTCCAATCAAATACCTAAGGTTCATTTCAACCTCCTCCCTTTCTTTTTTAAATATATTTTTATTGATTTCAGAGAGGAAGGGAGAGTGAGAGATAGAAACATCAATGATGAGACTCACTGATTAATTGCCTCGGCATGCCCCCAACTGGGGATTGAGCCTGCAACCCATGCAGTGCCCTTGATCAGAATTGAACCCGGGTCCCTTCAGTCTGCAGGCCGACACTCTATCCACTGAGCCAAACCAGTTAGGGTTCAACCTCCTCCCTTTCAATATGTAATTTCCTTCTCCCAAAGTGAAAAATCAGCCTTCAATTATCTACAATATATTTACTTATTTGCTTAATTCTAGAATACATGAAGTATAGTTGCATAATTGCTAAGTCTGCTGTGGAAAACAAATCTACTACACAGAGTTTAATATTTGTTAGAATCTGAGAGTGTGGAGGCAAAATACTGGTTCAAAACTTACTCAACTCTTCACTATGTATGCCATTCATTTGAAATATATTCATGTTCATTTTATCCCATTTGTATTCTGTGTTAGAGTTTATTCTTGATTTCATTCATTAAAAAGGTTGAGTATGTGAAATGTTAACATGGTTCTAAAAGTTAGAATTGCACAAAACCATAAATTCTATCAAGTCTCACTCCCCCCACCTTTTCTGCCCTGTTTCCATCATCTTATTATTTTCACCCCATTTTCACATACTCCCTGGATGTAACATATCTCATGGTTTCTGGGTTACCTTTCCCAAGAACTTGGGTTTTGTTTTTTTTTTCTTCTACAAATTATATATTTCCTTATTCCTTGTTTCTTTCACAAAAGGTGGCATACTTTCTCAAATTTCATTTTTTTTCATTTAATAGTATATTTTGGAAACCATTCCATATCAGTTTATAGTTCTCATTTTTGTAGCTTTATAGTATTCCCTTGGTAGATCTACTATTGTTCAGTCAGCCATTCTTCCATGTAAATTATTTAGGTTGTTTCTAGTATTTTGCAATTATAATGCTAAAGTGAATTACTTTGGGCACACATATTCTTGTACAACTGGAGATGTCTGACCAGGGTAAACTGCAATTAAGTGGGAAAGCATGTGTCATTTTGTTAGATATTGCCCAATTCTCCCAAATTAGCATTATACTAATTTGTATTCTGACCTTTTTTTAAGAGCACCTATTTCCCCCCAGGATTACCAACAGAATGTGTTGGTGTAATTTTTAATTTTTGCTAATCTGATAGGTGAGAAATAATATCTCAGTGTTATTTTAATGTGCACTTTTCTTATTAAGTAGTTGAGTATTTTTTTATATACTTACAGAAACTTTTTTTTGGTTTGTTTTGTTAATCCTCACTGAAGGGTATTTTTCCATTGATTTTTAGAGAGAGTGGAAGAGAGAGGGAAAGACAGACAGAAACAACAATGTGAGAGAAACACATCAACTGATTGCCTTCTGCACAAGCCCTGACCAGGGCCCAGGCCAGGGAGAAGCCTGCAACCAAGGTATGTGTCCTTGACTGGAATCAAACCTGGGACCCTTTGGTCCACAGGCCGATGTTCTATCCACTGAGCAAAACTGGCTAGGGCAAAGAACATTTAAAAAATATATATATATTTTATTGATTTTTTACAGAGAGGAAGGGAGAGGGATAGAGAGCTAGAAACATCCATCAGCTGCCTCTTGCACATCCCCCACTGGGGATGTGCCCACAACCAAGGTACATGCCCTTGACCGGAATTGAACCTGGGACCCTTCAGTCTGCAGGCCGACGCTCTATCCACTGAGCCAAACCAGTTAGGGCGACAAAGAACATTTTTTATTCTTTTTTTTTTTTTTTTTTTTTTTTTTTTTTTTTTTTGTGTGTGTGTGTGTGTGTGTGTGTGTGTGTGTGTGTGTGAATCATCTGTTCATGTTTTTGACTTACCGTATTTTTCGGACTATAAGACGCACTTTTCCCCCCCCCCAGAAGTGGGGGGAAAAAGTCCCTGCGTCTTATGGTCCAAATATAGCCTACACCAGTGTTTCCCAACCTTCTCTCATGATGAGAATCACCTGGTGGAGTTGTTAAAACACAGATTCCTGAATCCCAACTAAGAAGTGCTAAACTAGAATTTTTGAGAACATATAGGTAAAATTGCATACCTAACTTAGTGCTCTGTATATAAAATCTGTCTTAGAGCACTAGTTAAGTATACAATTTTACCTACATGTTCTCAAAAATTCTAGTTTAGCACTTCTTAGTTGGGATTCAGGAATCTGTGTTTTAACAACTCCACCAGGTGATTCTCATCATGAGAGAAGGTTGGGAAACACTGGCCTACACATATACTTTAAAAAAAAAGTTTTTTTACTTGCCCGGCTCTGTGTGGTCTCTGTGTGCTTGCCCGGCTCTAAAATGGTTCTAAATGCTGCTGTTTACTTTACAGGGTTGATTACATGTGTTTATGACTGTGATGTTGGGTTTTAATGCACATAAAATATTTTAGGACACTGTTTGTTTCAGAATCTTTTTTTCTTCATTTCCCTTCTCTAAAAACTGGTGCGTCTTATGGTCCGGAGCGTCTTATGGTCCGAAAAATACGGTATCTATCACATTTTTTCAACTTTCACCCCTCAATTTTTAAAAGTTCTTGTGTTTTTTTGTTTTGTTTTTTTAAAATATATTTTATTGATTTTTTATAGAGAGGAGGAGAGAGGGATAGAAAGCTAGAAACGCCGATGAGATAGAAACATCGACCAGCTGCCTCTTGCACACCCCCTTCCGGGGATGTGCCCACAACCAATGTACATGCCCTTGACCGGAATCGAACCCGGGACCTTTCAGTCTGCAGACCGTCGCTCTACCACTGAGCCAAACCAGTTTCAGCAGTTCTTGTGTTTTAAAGATGTTATACATTTATGTATGTTACATGTTGCAAACAGTTTCTCTCATCATTTATTTTAGACTTTTCCTGTTTTCTTACAATAATTTTATTTTCATATAAAGAAATTTATTTTTTATTGCTTCTGGATGAATTTGCTTTCATTAAACTCAGGAACGCTAAATTATAATAAACCTTTTTTGCTATAAATTATTTGAGCTTAAAATAATGTAAGTTTTAATAACCTACTTTTCCACTTTTTGAATATGTCCTGGGAAAAGGTTACCATTCAACGAATACATAAAAACATGTACTTAAGGGCACAGGCTCCCATATGGCTCAGCACGGCCCTGGCCAGAGGCCCATAATCCGTAACAGTAACAAGGCATGTCCGCTGCTCAAGAACTATTGCAGCAGCAGCAGCAAAGCTGGAGGAAACTTCAATGGACTTAGTTCTCAGGTCTCCTTAACTTCCTTGTGCTGTACAAACTTTTATAGACAGAAAAATTCTCATTTTTCCCTAGCTGCCTAATGAAATTTGGTTTCAGGTCACCTCCTGCTACCTTCCCCACACACACCAATATGAAAAGTATTTACTCCATAAATTGCATTGCTGCAATACTCTAAACCCGGCCACCCTCATTCCTTTATCTACCAAGGGAGACCCCCAGGGTTGCTTTACCTGTTATAAAACTATCCATGCTCCTTATGAATAATTTATTTATTATTTCCCCATGAAGACAATTTTATTTTCTTCTTCACATATTTATTTTGGATATGTCTTACCTAGATTAAGAGAAAACAAGAATTTGAAAAGCAGAGTATCCCTTTTATTATTCTAATTTCTTTTTACTTAATTTTTCAACCTATATTCAGGTACTGTAACTACCTATCTCTCCCATAAAAAGATCCTGCACGTTACAATAGGCAAAAAAGCTTTTAGGAAATAAAAATATTTTAAATTGATCCATTACGATTTTTCAATCTTCTTGAGTACATTGTAAAGTGGTGGTGGTGCGGGGGTGGAGGGGGGTGGGGGGACGGACAGGAGAAAAGAATGGAATTGCGAACAACCAGACTGTAATAACCTTAGATTTAATACACTTAAAAAAATAAATCTGCCGGGACCGGTTTGGCTCAGTGGATAGAGCGTCGACCTGTGGACTGAGGGGTCCCGGGTTCGATTCCGGCCAGGGGCATGTGCCTTGGTTACAGGCACGTCCCCGGTGGGGGGTGTGCAGGAGGCAGCTGGTCGATGTTTCTCTCTCATCGACGTTTCTAACTCTCTGTCCCTCTCAATTCCTCTCTGTGTAAAATCAATAAAATATATATTTTTAAAAAATAAATCTTTATTGTTCAGATTATTACAGTTGTTCCTCTTTTTTCCCCTCGTAGCTCTCCTCCACCTGATTCCCCACCCCTCCCATACCTGCCTGACCAGAGCTGCAGTTTGTTAGGTTAAGCTGTGATAGGGCAGGCCATTTATATGCAAGAGCTGCTGCACAGAGCTTGGGTGGGTTTGTAAATTGTGCAGGGTGGGGTCTCAGGGAATCACTAGGCTAGGGCGTGGCAAACAGCGATGGCTGCCAGCCAGCTGTCTCTGCATCTCCGAGTTTCCATGTCCTGTGCCCCAGCACAGTAAATAATGATTCCTGTGCGCACCTCTGCAAGAAAGCCACCCTCATTTTCTGACCCGATGGCAGATAGACCAGCTTCTCCCTGTAGGAGTCTGGGTCCCTAGAGTCTCGCTGGAAACTGGAGTTCAGAGTAATTGGAAGCTGTGTCTCCCTTCAGCTTGAAAAATACAGCGCACCGTCGCCAGCTGCCAGCCCGATTTGCGTGTCTGCGTACCTCAGCTTCTCCACGCTTGTGCATATCTTCATGCTCTTTTCTCTTTCCTTCTTGTTGTAGAACTTCTACTCATCCAGCTTTCCCGTGCTTCTGGGTGATAGACGTTTTGTCTTTTAGTTGTAGTTTTGGTGTGGTTGTGAGAGGCACCTCATACAGGTGTATACCTTATGCTGCCATCTTTGTTTCCCCCTTTAATGCACTATATTTTTTTTGTCCAAACAAGTACAAAGGAGATTCAAGTGCTCTATATGGATGCCTTACCATACTTATCATATATATATATTTTGCTCCCAATAATCCTGGCCAGTGTTTATCTAAACTTTCTGAAGCATATTAGGTCTCAATGATGCAAAATAATCCTGGGCAATCAAACAAGGGGGAAGCACAGGAATAATGCTTATATCTCAACTACATTTTCAGAATCTAGAATTGCCAAGTCAAGATGGTGAATATGCAATGGAGGGAAAGGATAACAGAGTTTGACTAAAAGTAAGAAATGCAGAATTTTCAGATTAAAAAAGTTCCTTGGAAGGTCCTTGTGGAGCTTTTAGATACTCCTTTGGATATCCCTTGTTTGTGGATGGTTCATACCTGAAAAGAAATGGTAAAAATTGCCAAGAAGTTATGCTACCACAGACTTGAATTTACCTTTAAGCTTTTCACAGAAAATTGAATCTGAACGGTGTGGGTCCACTTATACGTGGATAATTTTCAATAAGTACAGTCAGCCCTATGCCCCCAGGTTTTACATTCATGGATTCAACCGAGGATCAAAAACACTATTTTCCATCTGAGGTTAAGGATCTGCAGATGTGGAGGGATGACTGTAGGCACTGTTCTATGCCTCTATACTAATAATATCCTAGGTGGCATTAAGCCCTCAGGTCATTATAAGATGGCCGTCAGAAGATGGCCACAAGCACAGCGAAGGCGGGGCCCAGTGGCTGCTCCATGCACTGAGGCATAAGGGTCCTGTAGCTTTGCACAGTGTGGCGAAGGCTGGTCCTGATGTCTGCTGCCTTGCATGAAGGTGGGTTGTGGGAGGGCAGGGCAGTTAGTGGCGATCAGGCCGGTAGGGGAGCAGTCAGGCATCAATCAGGCAGGCAGGCGAGCGGTTAGGAGCCCGTGGTCTCAGATTGTGAGAGGGATGTCCCATATTGGAGAGGGTGCAGGCAGGGCTGAAGGACAATCCTCCACCGTTATGCATGAATTTTGTGTACTAGGCTTCTAGTCTATATATATAAAAGCCTAAGCAACCATTTGACTGGTAGCTATGATGCACACTGACCACCTAGGGGCAGACACTCAATGCACAGGAATAGAAACATGGAACAGATTGATGAATCTGATGGACGCGGGAAAGAAGGAGATTAACCAAAGATCTTATATGCATACTAGAAGCCTGGTGCATGTGGTCCCTTGGCCTGGCCTGTGGGGATCAGGCCGAAACCGGCAGTCCAACATCCCCCAAGGAGTACCAGACTGTGACAGGGCACAGACCAGGCTAAGGGACCCCACTAGTGCACAAAGCTATGCACCAGGACTCTAGTTTTATTTTTTTTAAATTTTAAAAATAAATCTTTATTGTTCATATTATTACAAATGTTCCTCATTCCCCCCCCCCTTCATTGCTCCCCTCCACCAGATACACACCACACCCTCTGCCCTTTCCCCACCCCCCATTGTCCTCCTCCTTAGGCGCACAGTTTATGTTCAGTCTCTTCCCACACCCCCCTCTCCCCCCTTTTTTTTTTTAAATAAATTTTTATTGTTCATATTATTACAAATGTTCCTTCCCCCCCCCTTCTCACCCCACCCTTTGCCCTTTCCCCACCCCCCATTGTCCTCATCCATAGGTGCACAGTTTATGTTCAGTCTCTTCCCACATCCCCCTCTCCCCTTTTCCCCAAGAATAAACAGTTCACTCCCCTTCCATACCTCTGATTCTATTATATTCAACAGTTAATATTGTTCCTCAGATTTTTTTTTTTAGTTTCCTTGGTTTTCAGATTCACTTGATAGTTATGTATTTGTTGTTCATAATTTTTATCTTTATTTACTTTCTCTTCTGAAAGAACCCCCTTCAGCAATTCATATAATTCTGGTTTGGTGGTGATGAACTCCTTTAGCTGTTTTTTATTAGTGAAGTTCTTTATCTGACCTTCGAATCTGAGTGATAATTTTGCTGGATAGATTATCTTTGGCTGTAGGTTCTTGCTATTCATCACCTTGAATATTTCTTGCCATTCCCGTCTGGCCTGCATGCTTTCTGTTGAGAAATCAGCTGACAATCGTATAGGTGCTCCTTTATAAGTAACTACCTTCTTTGCTCTTGCTTCTTTTAATATTCTCTTTGTCTTTTGTTCTTGGAATCTTAATTATGATTTGTCTTGGTGTGGTCCTCTTTGGATTCCTTTTGTTTGGAGTTCTGTGTGCTTCCTGGACTTGTAAGTCTAATTCTTTCACCAGGTAGGGAAAGTTTTCTGTCACTATTTCTTTCAGTATGTTTTCGATATCTTGCTCTCTCTCATCTTCTGGGACCCCCATAATTCTGATGTTGGTTCGTTTGAAGTTGTCCCAGAGGTTTCTTACATTATCTTCAACTTTCTGGATTCTCTGGCCTTCTTGCGTCTGCGGAGGAGTGTCTTCTGGCTCTTTATGTTCCAAATTTTGACTTGATTCTTGCGATCTTCCATTCTGTTTTTAGGACTCCATAAAATATTTTTTATTTCAGACAATATATTCTTTATTTCTTGTTGATCCCTTATTATTTCTAGTTGATCCCTTTTCATATCCTCATAGGTCTTGTTTATTTTATCGGCCTTTTCTAGGAGATTCTTGAACAACCTTATAAGTGTGGTTTTGAACTCTATATCCAGTCGCTTTTTCCTCCTCCATTTCTTTCGTTTGTGATCTATTTGGTTTAGGCATTTTTGCAGGCAGCTTTTCTGATGGGGCGGGGTTTCAGGGTGGAGCCTACAGCCTTGGCTTCCATCAGCCCCGCCCTATGCGACTCCTGAGACTCAGGGTCCTTCAGTACTTGTTGCGAGCGCCTCTGAGAGAAAGGTGCCCTCGATTTTCGCCTGCTGCCAAACTGTCTATGCTCTCCCCCAATGAGTCCGGTATTGGGGTTCAGTTCAGTTGGTAGTGGGATTGGAGGTGGCGTTCAGAGCAGTCTGGAGCCCCTGTCTCCTTCCCGTCAGGGCAATCCCGAGGCACAGCTGGCCGGCCCTTCTCTGCACGCAGTGTGCGCGCCTCCGGGACCTCCTTTCGCCGCTTCCCCGGAGTCCCGCCTTACAGCCCAGCTCCCTATAGATGAGCCTGGGTCCCCGGGGTCTGGCCTAGAATTGGGGTTCAGAGCAGTTGGAGCTGGGCCCAGCACAGTCGGAGCTTTTCTCTCCTTCCCTCTTGGGACAGCCAGCCAGGCACTCTGCCTCCCTCCTCTCGGGCTCTGTCCTCTCCGCGCGCACCGCGTGTCTCCGTACCTTGGGCTTTTACAGCTCCTCCGCGCTTCCTTCTGGTTTTCTCCTTGCTTCTTGTTGTAGAATTTCCAGTCAGTCGACTTTCCTGTAGTTCTGGGTAATGTCCATTTTATATTTTAGTTGTATTTTGTTGAAATTGTGTGCGGCTGCGGCTAGTTGCCTACCCGAGCAGCCATCTTGGATTCTCTCCCCCCCTCCCCTTTTCCCCAAGAATCGTCAGTCCACTCCCCTTCCATACCTCTGATTCTATTATATTCACTAGTTAATATTGTCCATCAGGTTTTTCAATTCCCTTGCCTTTTAGTTTCACTTGTTGGTAGTTACGTATTTGTTGACCATAATTTTTATCTTTATCTTCTCCCTCTTCCTAAAGAATCCCTTTCAGGAATTCATATAATTCTGGTTTGGCAGTGATGAACTCCTTTAGCTTTTTTTTATTTGTGAAGCTCTTTATCTGGCCTTCGATTCTGAGTGATAGCTTTGCTGGGTAGAGTATTTTTGGCTGTAGGTTCTTGCTATTCATTGCCTTGAATATTTCTTGCCATTCCCGTCTGGCCTGCATGGTTTCTGTTGAGAAATCAGCTGACAATTGTATGGGTGCTCCTTTATAAGTAACTACCTGCTTTGCTCTTGCTGCTTTTAATATTCTCTGTCTTTTGCTCTTGGAATTTTAATTATGATTTGTCTTGGTGTGGCCCTCTTTGGATTCCTTTTGTTTGGGGTTCTATGCGCTTCATGGACTTGTAAGTCTATTTCTTTCCCCAGGTGGGGGAAGTTTTCGGTCACTATTTCTTTCAGTATGTTTTCGGTATCTTGCTCTCTTCTTCTGGGACCCCCATAATTCTGATGTTGGTTCATTTGAAATTGTCCCAGAGGTTTCTTACACTATCTTCAACTTCCTGGATTCTCTTATCTTCTTGCTTCTGTGGAACAGTGTCCTCTGGCTCTTTGTGTTCCAAATCTTTGACTTGATTCTTGCGATCTTCCATTCTGTTTTTAGGACTCTGTATAATATTTTTTATTTCAGAAAATGTATTCTTTATTTCTAGTTGATCCCTTTTCATATCCTCATAGGTCTCGTTTATTTTATTGGCCTTTTCTAGGAAACTCTTGAAAAACCTTATAAGTGTGGTTTTGAACTCTATATCCAGTCACTTCTTGTCCTCCATTTCTTTTGTTTGTGATCTGTTTCCTTGTCTCGGCATTTTCACAGCTTCCCTGAGTTGGTAGGTTGGCTTTGTGTGCTAAGGTGTCCTATATGGTTCAGTGGGTCAGCCTCCCAGTTACCTGAGGTAGACAGTCTTGGTGTAGCCCTTTGTGGGTTGTGTGTGCAGTCTTGTTGTTAAGCCTTGCTTGTTGTTGGTATCACTGGGAAGCGTTGATCTCCAAGCTAATTGGCTATGAGGATCAGAAGTGTCTCAGCTAGGACGGTTTCTATATTCCGCTTGGATGGGGTGGAGTCTCGGGGTGGCACAGCCAAGTTTGGTGAATCCCGAAAATTGGTTGCAGGTGCACGCATCGCTTTTGTATAGGTGCAGACAAGCTTTAGATTCCTGTCTGCCCCTCCCTAGGAGAGTCCTATTCGCGGGAACGAGAAAGCTAGCCACTGGGGCTTCTGTGCTTCGCTTGGATGGGGCAGAGTCTCGGGTGGTGCAGACAAGCTTTATTCAGCCCCTTGCACAAACCAGCCTCGCGTTAGCTGTCCGCCCTCCCAGTGCGCAGCGAGTAAGCCAGCAGCGACTCGGCCTGTCCTCTCCACGCTCTGCAAGCAAGCCGGCAGTGAAGTTGGGCAGCTGCCTTTTCGCACACACAGTTCTCCACACCTTCACAGTTCCTGAGGTTCAGCATGCCTTCTCTCTCCTTCCCAGATGGTAGAGCCTCCTTTCAGCCAGCCGTCCGGTGCTTCAGGAAGATGTTCCCCCCGTTTTCCAGTTCCAAATTCAAATTTGTTGTGGTAGGCTGCATTCAGGTGTCTACCCTATGCCGCCATCTTGGTTTCTCCTGGGCCTCTAGTTTTATATAAGGGTCTTAAACAACCATGGATTTTGGTATCCACTGAGGGTCCTGGGACCCATCCTTTGTGGATACTACGGTATGATTGTAGTTAAGCTTTTGGGGAGTCAACAAATTTTTAGCTATGGAGAAATGGGGGGTGGAGGGGTGTTAGTGCCCTAACCCTTATGTTGCTCAAGGGTCAACTGTGCTGTTAACGTAAGCAAGCAGTCTATTACAAGAATGTACCCAAACTACCTGTCAGAATGGCCAACATCAACAAATCGACAAACGACAAGTGCTGGCGAGGGTGCGGAGAAAAAGGAACCCTCGTGCACTGCTGGTGGGAATGCAGACTGGTGCAACCACTGTGGAGAACAGTGTGGAGTTTCCTCAAAAAACTGAAAATGGAACTCCCATTTGACCCAGTAATCCCACTCCTAGGAATATATCCCAAGAAACTATTTAGAAACACCAATCAGAAAGGATATATGCACCCCTGTGTTCATAGCAGCACAATCTACAATAGCTAGAATTTGGAAACAGCCTAGGTGCCCGTCAGCAGATGATTGGATCCAAAAACCATGGTACATCTACACAATGGAATACTATGCTGCCATAAAAAAGAAGGAATTCTCATCATTCGCAGCAACCTGGATGGAATTGGAGAACATCATGCTGAGTGAAATAAGCCAATCAATGAAAGAGAAACACCACATGACCCCACTCATTTGTGGATAATAAAGATCATTATAAACTGATGAACCAAAAGATAGATATAGAGACAGTAAAGCAACAAGCAGATTGTCAAATTACAGCGGGGAGGGGAAGAGGATCTGGGGGAGATAATAGATCAACCAAAGGACTTGTATACATGCATATAAGTACAACCAATGGACATAAAACTCTGGGGAGGGGATATGTGGGAGGGAGGGTGGGGGGCAAAAAAAAAAAAATCATTAAAATATGTAAAAAAATAAATTAATTAATTAAAAAAAAATGTACCCAAACTAATTTATCCACTTTTGAAAACATTTTTGTATTTATGTGCTCCTCCCAATTTTTTTGGAGCACAAATTATGAACAATTCTATAATCATTTTTTTTAATGTACACTTTACTCATTTGTCTGGTTGAGAACAGCTGGATTTGATGGGTGAAATGGAAGCATAAGAGTTTAAGGTTTTTTTTGTGTGTTTAAGGTTTTTAAAAAATTAAAAAACTAAACTGTCAGCCAGTGTGGTTTTATTAGTTTGATTCCAAGAACAACCATATGTCACCTGACTCACACCCACACCAACACGGAAAATTAGCATGCCTTTTCATCTTTGCTGGATCAGGAGTTGAGCCGAGTAAAAATGGTGTCACATTTCTATCTTATTAGAATTTCTGGGGTTATTGGTAAAGGCGAACTTTCCTTTTGTAAGTGCTGCTGGAATCATAATGCTGCTTTCTGGAGAGATGGTCTCTGCTGCAGGGGGTTCTGTCTGTGAGAAGATGGGCCTTACCATTGCCATCCTCTCCTGCTGCCCATACCTCACACAGAAGTCCCCAGATGAGGAAGACAGAGAGGCTCCATTTGTCCTTGCCATGTGGGGATAGTGCAAGGACAAATGGCTGCAGGAGAAGAGGAAAAGAGGAACTTGGTCATCATACACAGCAAAGAATGGGATATTGTTCTAAAGGCAGAAAACTGTTAACAAAAGGTTGAGAAGGTATCCTATGAGAAATGGACAAGGACACAATTTTCATAGTACAGAGACAGAAGGACAGGTTCAGAGACACAGAGTAGGATGGTGGCTGACAATGAGGCAGCAGAACTGAGAGGAGCAAAGCGTCTTTCACTCAGGACCTCTGAGCAGTACAGTCTATGGCTGTGTCACACAATAGCTGTGATTTGGGACAGTTTAACTCACCCTGCTTCGCCTCAGCTTCCTGTTCTAAAAAATGGGGATAACAGAACTAATACGTCATGGCAATGTGGAGGAAAATAAATGAGAAGTGTGTAAGCCACTCTTACTATATTTAAAGACTCAATAAACCTTACTTCTTAGAGTTTCTCATGGTGGAAGGAGCTCCTATTCTTTGAAAGATCTAGATCACATGTGTCAAACACAAGGCCCGTGGGCCAAATCCGTCCCGCCAGGCCTTGCAATGTGGCCCGCACCGCGCTGTCATCACTGCACTCTGCTGTGTTTCCATCACAATGACAGTTTATGACTGTTCAGTAAACCATTCGGCCTGCGATTTAGGCTGGATTTTAGATTTTGGCCCCTTCTCTGATTGAGTTCGACACCCCTAATCTAGATGGTACAAATTTCAACTCAGGGCTCTTTCCACATTGCAGTGCTTCCTCTCAACTGAATGGCAAGATCAGTTCCAAGCTGTTTCATTTTCCCCTTCCCGTTAGTGCCTCATCTTGATAACTTCTGCAGCTCCCTGAGATGTCTCAAAGAATGACCTGTTTCCAAATAGTCCTCTAGACCCATGCATGTACAGCCAATTCCTTTCTGACAAAGGAGCCAAAAACACATATTTGGGAAAGGACAGTTTCTCTTCGATAAATGGTGCTGGGCAAACTGGATATTCACATCCAAAGGAATGAAATAAGACCCTTATCTTGAGTCAATTGTTGACTTCATTTGTTTTCCAATATGAAAACATTAATCTTATAAAACAAAAAAGACACAAAACGAGTGAAATTCTAACGTGCGTTTTTGTTGTTTCACTGATTGCCGGGCCCGCTGGCTTCAGTCGGACAGTACCTAAAAGGGGGTTGAGGATGGAGAAAAGGCGACAAAGAGACAAACAAAAGATGGGATCGGGAGGGCAAACAGTTCAAGACTGCCGCCCCAAGTTTATTTCTCTCAGCATACTGATGCAATTAAGATGACATAAGTATCACGTAAGCAAAAGCAATTTTATTATTAGATCTGCACAGCTTTTTCTTTCTAGCCTTTACAGACTTATCAACTTCCCTCTGACCTGCCTCGTGACTACAGCCAGCTTCCTTGTTTCCCCGCCATCCTGCTTACTTCCCTTTACTCATACTCTGACTGTCTCATATCTTGCTTTGTCTGCAAACTGGCAAGCCTCAGTGGGCCAAAGGAGCGGGTGCCAGACAGCCCACCTTGTGAAACACTTTGTCTCCTTGGGACTTGTCAATCTGAGACTGCTCCCCACAACTGATCTTTTGCTAAAGAAAATTTCCAAAATTCATAGATTTGGCAGAACATATACTCAAACATTTTACCAAATAGTTAGCAAATGCACATCTGAAAAAAAGGCTCATCATAAACCCTTACTTAGAAAAATGTAATCAAACAATGAGATAGCATAAGTTATATAAAAAAACAAACATATCTCCATATAATTATGCATAATCACTATTAGATGTGATTCTGTAGCAATTATGCTTTCTCTTAACTCCTATTGTCCTACCCCAAATGACCATCACATATGGAATTATAGACACTAGAACAGATAGCCCTTTGCAAGATCTTTGAAAGTGATTCCCTCCAAAAGTACTGGCATAACCTGTGAACAAGAGAAAAATCATGCTGCTCCCAGAAACACTTGAGGTTGTCATACCTGCCCCTCAAATATATTTTTATTGATTTCAGAGAGGTATCGATGATGAGAGAGAACCACTGATTGGCTGCCTCCTGCACAACCCCTACTGGGGATGGAGCCTGCAACCCTGGCATGTGCCCTGACTGGGAATCAAACCTTGACCAATGCTCAACCACGAACCACACAGATCAGGCTCACCTGCCCCCTCCTGAACCTGATTTCTGTCTCCTAAAACTCATAGCATCCAGGCTTCACATGAGTACCAGAGCCCTGCAGTCTTTCCTAGGAGGATGTGGAAAGCAATGCAAATTTGGCAAGAACTGGTGAGGAATTTCAGCACTATACTGTCTCTTCAGAGGCAGAGAAAGTTTGAGACCCCATAAAAGTTGTTCACCTCTTCATGCTTCCCCATGTTTTTGCTTATAACCTACCCCACACAGTAAATAAAACACCCAAGGTGAAAGAGGACTTAAACAAAAGGGCCTACATTATTTTACAAACTAAAGGGACATGAACCTGGAAGTTCTTGCACTGCTGACTTTGACAATGGAAATATTCATCACAGGTATCTAGGGAAACATGGTCCCTGAAAAGGTAGTCCTTCTGCAAGCTGCCAGCTAACCTTAGATGATGTTCTCTGGGGTCAACACTGGGTCAGGCACATGCCCGAACTAGTCAGAATGAAGAAAATACAGATCTCATTATGGGCTCAGGCTACTCCTAATTTCCTCCAACAAATCCGAGAACAAAGTTAAGTGACTGTTTCATTTCCCACATTCACTGCACTCATAAGGCCTTTCTCCAGTGTGAAATCTCTAATGATAATCGAGGCCACTGCTACAGATACAAGGTTTCCCACATTTGCTGCAATCATAAGGCCTTACTCTTGTGAACTCTAAGATGACAACACAAGTGACTGCTCGTGACAAAAGATTTCCCACATTCACTGCACTCATAAGGCCTTTCTCCAGTGTGAACCCTCTGATGATAACGGAGGCCACTGCTATAAGTAAAAGATTTCCCACATTCACTGCACTCATAAGGCCTTTCTCCAGTGTGAACCCTCTGATGATCACGGAAGCCACTGCTATAAGTAAAAGATTTCCCACACTCACTGCACCCATAAGGCCTTTCTCCAGTGTGAAATCTCTGATGACAACGCAAGTGATAGTTTGTGACAAAAGATTTCCCACACTCACTGCACCTATAAGGCCTTTCTCCAGTGTGAAATCTCTGCTGATGACAACGCAAGTGATAGTTCGTGACAAAAGATTTCCCACATTCACTGCACTCATAAGGCCTTTCTCCAGTGTGAAGTCTCTGATGACGATAAAGGCCAGAGGTACTGGTAAAATATTTTCCACATTCACCACACTCATATGGCTTTTTCTCCAGTATGAATTCTCTGGTGTTGAACAAGACTTGCACTTTGGCTAAAGGATTTCCCACATTCGCCACACTTATATGGCTTTTCTCCAGTGTGACATCTCTGATGACAACGGAGGCCAGAGTCATTGATAAAAGATTTCCCACACTCACTGCACCTATAAGGCCTTTCTCCAGTGTGAAGTCTCTGATGACGATAAAGGCCAGAGGTACTGGTAAAATATTTTCCACATTCACCACACTCATATGGCCTTTCTCCAGTGTGAAGTCTCTGATGACGATAAAGGCCAGAGGTACTGGTAAAATATTTTCCACATTCACCACACTCATATGGCTTTTCTCCAGTATGAACTGTCTGGTGTTGAACGAGGCTTGCACTTTGGCTAAAGGATTTCCCACATTCGCCACACTCATATGGCTTTTCTCCAGTGTGAACTCTCTGGTGTTGAATGAGACTTGCATTTTGGCTAAAGGATTTCCCACATTCACCACACTCATGCGACTTTTTTGCAGAATGAACTCGACTGTGTACAATAAGGTTGGCGTGCTGTCTAAAACATTTTCCACATTCACTGCACTCATATGGCCTTTCTCCTGTATGAACTTTCTGGTGATTACAGAGATCAGAAACTTTTGTAAAATATTTCTTACATTCACAGCACGTAAAACACTGTACTCCAGTATAGGCACCACGGTCCTGAGCAACTGTTTGGTTGTAGCCAATGGCTTTCTTACATTCTTTCCTGGCGTAATCACTTTTTCTCCTTTTAAAACGCACACCAGATGCTGACATTTCACTTGGCCGACCTGTGGTGTGAGTAGCCTGCTCTTGGATATGTCCTGAGCTGTTGAGAACGTCCTGTCCAACCTCCTCAGAGGTAAAAGGCTTTTGTGACACATTGAAATGGCAGCCCTTGGCACGTGGGGTCCTCTCCACACCTCTTATGAAATGCATCTCTCTCACGTGCTGCTCCTGGTGCTGGGGACACTTTGTGCTGAGATAAAACCGCTTTCCACATGCCCCACATCTCAATAGTTTCTGGCTGTGCTGTGTTTCCTGATTCTCAACCAAGTAGAAAATGTCTCTCAGGACTATTCCACAACTCTCACAGGGGTGGCTCTTCTGGGAGGACAAAGCTACATTGGGATTCTTTGCCTGTGACACTCTCACAGAAACATGCTGTTCAGTGGGTGCCTCCACATCTTCTGCTCCACAGCAGCAACCTAGAGAGGAGATGAGGTCATAGTTCTCCAGCATCACTTCAAGGTACAGGTGTCTCTGAGCCTCATCAAGGAGGCACCATTCCTTCTTGGAGAAGCAAATGGCGACATCCTCAAAGGTCACACCAACCTCAGCTGGGGGCCTTTGTGGGCGAACCAGAGTGCGAGTGGTGGGAGCAGAGGCAACCCTGGGCACAGAGGTCTCTGTCCTGGGCCTAGTGCGAGTCACCTGGGTGGTTGGTTGACGGGGACCAGGACTCTTGCGCCTTCTCATTCTGGCATCTCCAATAGTGCTCAGGACGCTCCGACCCATTTAGGTGATCCTAAGAGAAGAGGAAACATCCATCATCAGAAGAACACTGGAAGTCAACTGTTGAATTTAAAAGGCAAACTGCACTGCCAAGCTTTCTGTAATAGCCTCAAAGAATTCGTATGAACAAATGTAGCTTTAAAAAAGTTCAGATTACCGAGGATCCAAGATGGCTGCTCGGGTAGACACCTAACCGCAGCAGCACACAACAATTTCAATGGAATACAACTAAAATGTAGAGTGGACATTGCCCAGAGCTGCAGGTAGTCGACTGACTGAAAATTCTACAACAAGAAGGAAAGAGAAAACCAGAAGGAAAATCAGAGGAGCTGAAAAAAAGCCTAAGGTACGGAGACATGCTGTGCACCCACACACACGCGCGCGCGGAGAAGTCGTAGCCAGAGAGGAGGAGAAGGCTGGGTGCCTGCCTGGCGTTCCCTAGCAGGAAGGAAATAAAACCCCCAGCCTGGGCTGAACCCCCAAACCGGCAGCGCTGAGCCCCAGTTATAGGCCAGACCCTGGGGACCCAGGCTCTGGCAGGGGGAGACGGGGCTGTGGGGCAGAGTCTCGGGGGAGCGCGCAAAGCAGGGCCCCCGGAGTCGCGCGCACAGAGGACTGAATGTTGACTCTGATGCTGGATTACCCTAGCCAGAAGAAACAAAGCCTCCGGCGGCGCTGAGCCTCAGTCCGGACTGCTCTGAACCCCAGTTCTGGGCCGGTCCCTGGGGACCCGGGCTCAAGAGGAGGGAGACGGGGCTGTGAGGTGGAGTCCTGGGAGAGCGGCCGATCCCCTGGAGTCGCGCACACTGCACGCAGAGGAAAGTCTGTTGACTCTGATCCTACAATCCCCTAGCAGGAAGGAGAAAAAAAGCTCCAGACTGGAGGAATGTGACAAGGAGCAGGAGCCCCTGCCGGACACCGGCCAGCCGGGCACCAGCAGGGAGCTGGGCGACGGGGGGGGGGGGGCTGAGCCTTCGACCGCTGAGCGCGGGCAACGGAGCCAAGGCCGGGGGCTGCTTCCTGGGCAGCACCGACCCCGGCAACAGGCTGAAGCAGCGCAGGAGCCCGCGGAGAACAAAGGGGTGCCACAGGCCAACCTGCTGAGCTCCCAGGAAAGGAGGAAGAAACCAAAGAAGTTCTCAATGTGAAGAAATTGAGTGAGAGCAAAAGATAGTAAAATTACTTAAGAATACAAAGAAGATCTTGAAAAATCAAAGACTAAGTCAGAACTCAACTCACCAGCCAACATTGCAACATAAATGCGTTTTAAAAAAAAAAAAAGGACAGAATGTTGGAACAGCGGCGGCCAGGCCTAGAGTGGCCAGGCACAAGGCAGTGGCAGCCGGGCCTGGAGCAGCAACGGCCAGGCCCCAGAACAGCAGCAGCCAGAACCAGAGCAACAACAGCCAGCACTGGAGCAGCCAGACCTGGGGCAGTGGCAGCCAGGCCTGAGGCGGAGGCAGCCAAGCCCAGGTTGGCCAGTCCAGGAACACCCAGACCCGGAGTGGCCGGGCCCGGAGAAGCTGGGCCCAGAGCAGCTGGGTTGGGAGCAGCCAGGCCCGGAGCAGCAGCTGCCAGGCTGGGAGTGGCCAGGCCCAGAGCAGCGGCTGCCAGTCTGGTGTGGCCAGGCCCGGAGCAGCGGCTGCCAGGCTGGGAGCGGCCAGGCCCGGAGCAGCGGCTGCCAGGCTGGGAGTGGCCAGGCCCGGAGCAGCAGCTGCCAGGCTGGGAGCAGCCGGGCCCGGAGCGGCCGGGCCCAGAGCAGCCGGGTCGGGTGCGGCCAGGCCCGGAACAGCAGAAGCCAAGTCCAGAGCAACTAGGTTGGGAGCGGCAGTGACCAGACCCGGAGCAGCTGGTTGTAGAACGAACCAGAGCAACAGAGGCCAGGCCCGGAGCAGCCAGGCCCAGAGCAGCTCGCTCCTTGCCTGCCCCTGCCCCACGGCTGCCTCTCAGACATGGCTGGAAACTTTTGCGGGAACTTGAGGGTCTGCTGAATCAGGTGATGGAGGCTTAGATATGGATGTGTTGAGTTGGTATAGCGCTGGGGTGTTGATCTGTGAGTGCCTTGGGTGGGGCCTGGATGAGGCTGGTTGACCTATTTGGAAATGTCTTTTGTGTGAAATGTATCATTAGGCATGTGGAGGTATTGTTGATATGAGAAAATGCTAAGTGGCTGATTTGCTATCTGAAAAGGGATTTGATGTTGGGGAAAGGGAGGGAGGAAGAGACTGAACATAAACTGTGCACCTATGGATGAGGACAATGGGGGATGGGGAGGGGGCGGAGGGTGGGGTGGGAACCTGGTGGAGTGGGGAAGAAATGAGGAACCTTTGTAATAATATGAACAATAAAGCTTGATTTAAAAAAAAAAAGTTCAGATTACCTATTTCCTAAAGCACACTTGTTGCCTGGATTTTGAAGTAATTTGGATGAAATAATCAAACTCACGTGTTTGGCATGAAAGAAAGAAATACAAGAAAGAATAGCTACTGATTTCAGATGAAAATGTTTCTGGAGAAGATGGACCTTCTCTCATAAGTAATTACAGAGAGACATAAAATAACTTTGATTGGTTGCAACATATTTTTTTCTAGGATAAAATTTTTAAAAATGAGGAAAAAAAGAGAAAAAAAAAAAGCATATGCTCCATACATTAATAAAACATTCTCAGTCAAAATGAAAATTAAGCACATCATGTTTAGCTAAAAGTGAAAAATCTCCTCCCAGTGATACCAACAACAATCAAGACTTAACTACAATAAGGCTGTACACACCCAGTCCACAAAGGGGTGCACCAAGAGTGTCCACCTCAGCTAACTGGGAGGCTGACCCACTGAACCATATAGGACACCTTACCACACAAAGCCACCCTACCAACTCGGGGAAGCTGCGAAAATGCTGAAACAAGGAAACAGATCACAAACGAAAGAAATGGAGGACAAAAAGCGACTGGATAGAGTTCAAAACCAAGTTTATAAGGTTTATCAAGAATTTCCTAGAAAAGGCCGATAAAATAAACAAGACCTATGAGGATATGAAAAGGGATCAACTAGAAATAAAAACGGATCAACTAGAAATAAAGAATACACTGTCTGAAATAAAAAATATTATTCAGAGTCCTAAAAACAGAATGGAAGATCGCAAGAATCAAGTAAAAGATTTGGAACATAAAGAACAAGGAGACACTCCTCCACAGAAGCAAGAAGACAAGAGAATCCAGAAAATTGAAGACAATGTAAGAAACTTCTGGTACAACTTCAAGTGAAACAACATCAGAATTATGGGGGTCCCAGAAGAAGAGAGAGAGCAGGATACCAAAAACATATTGGAAGAAATAGTGACAGAAAACTTCCCCCACCTGGTGAAAGAATTAGACTTACCAGTCCAGGAAGCACACAGAACTCCAAACAAAAGGAATCCAAAGAGGAACACACCAAGACAAATCATAATTAAAATTCCAAGAGCAAAAGACAAAGAGAGAATATTAAAAGCAGCAAGAGCAAAGCAGGTAGTTACCTATAAAGGAGCACTCATACGACTGTCAGCTGATTTCTCAACAGAAACCATGCAGGCCAGACGGGAATGGCAAGAAATAGTCAAGGTGATGAATAACAAGAACCTACAGCCAAAAATACTCTACCCAGCAAAGCTATCACTCAGAATCAAAGGCCAGATAAAGAGCTTCACAAATAAAAAAAAGCTAAAGGAGTTCATCACTGCCAAACCAGAATTATATGAATTGCTGAAGGGAGTTATTTCGGAAGAGAAAGAAAATAAAGATAAAAATTATGAACAATAAATACATAGCTATCAACAAGTGAATCTAAAAACCAAGGGAATTAAAAAACCTGATGAACAATATTAACTGGTGAATATAATAGAATCAGAGGTATAGAAGATGAGTGGAATGACGATTCTCAGGGAAAAGAGGAGTGGGGGTGCGGGAAGAGACTGAACATAAACTGTGCACCTATGGATGAGGACAATGGGGTGTGGGGAAAGGGCAGAGGGTGGGGTAGGAACCTGGTGGAGGGGGGGAAAAATGAGGAACTTTTGTAATAATATGAACAATAAAGGTTTATTTAAAGAGAGAGAGAGAGAGAGAGAGAGAGAGAGAGAGAGAGAGTGTGAGAGAGTAATCCAAGGTGAGAAAATAAAAATAGAAGCAATTTAAAAAAAAAAATCTGCAGAAACTGGTTTGGCTCAGTGGATAGAGCGTCAGCCTGCGGACTGAAGGGTCCTGGGTTCGATTCCGGTCAAGGGCATGTACCTTGGTTGTGGACACATCCCTAGTAGGGGGCGTGCAAGAGGCAGCTGATTGATGACTCTCATCAGTGTTTCTAACTATCTCTCTCCCTTCCTCTCTGTAAAAAAATCAATAAAATATATTTTTTAAAAATATCTGATGAACAATATTAACTGGTGAATATAATAGAATCAGAGGTATGGAAGGGGAGTGGACTGACGATTCTCGGGGAAAAGGGGAGAGGGGGGTGTGGGAAGAGACTGAACATAAACTGTGCGCCTAAGGATGAGGACAATGGGGGGTGGGGAAAGGGCAGAGGGTGTGGTAGCAACCTGGTGGAGGGGAGCAATGGAGGGGAAAAAAATGAGGAACATTTGTAATAATATGAACAATAAAGGTTTATTTGAAATTAAAAACATAATAATAAAAGTGAAAAATCTGAGATTATGATGAACTCAACAGTGGCCAGAGTTGGCAAATCTCAGGAAGGCCTAAGGGGCCACATGTCACCACTTCCTCTAATTCTTAGTGCCACATCTGACAGCGGTCATTGCACTGGCCCACTTTAACAAGACTTCCCCCAGGCTCAGCAACAAATGAAGAGAAAAACATAGAACCATGACATTAAAAACACTACCTTCAAGGACAGTTTACTATCCAACAACACAAAATCCTGTCATATCTAGGGGAGATAAGGCTCTGAGAAAATTCTTGCTCTAACTGTTCCCTGTCTCCAGAGAAGTGAGGCTTACATGAAGTTGTCACTTAATTACAGGAGTTGTTTCCTCAGATACCTTCCCACATTTATTGTTAACGCCCAGAATTTCCTAAAAAGGGAAAGAACTTCACAGACTATATACTCCACTATTAAGAGGGGAACCAACTTGTCTCAGTTTGTCTGGGATTGCTCTGGCATTAAAGTCTGTCTCCTGGGAAACCCCTAAGTCCTGGGAATTCTTGGACAACTGCCACTGGAACTACACACAGCAGCTCAGTGAAGCCCAGGGAAAGTGATTGGACAAACTGCAGGGGGGAAAAAAAGTAGGTTCAGGCAGTAACTTGGTTCTCCTGGCTCTCAGGGGATAGACTGCCACCAAACTAATGGTGACATCATAGAAATCTGAGAACGATGAGAAGAGAATATCTGGGGGGCAGGAGGAGACCAAGCTTCAGGCAGGGGAAACCCAGGGTTTCATCATGCCCAGGATGTGATTTCTTCAAGAAGGAGGTCATCCATCAGACAGGTAGGCAGGAGCAGAGGCCACTGTTACTGATTCCTCTAAATAGGCCTGGACTTATTTCTGAGACTGAAATATGAGCTATGGACTAAAACTCATCTGAGGAGTGTCTCATGGATCTTCATAGGGAAAAAGAACAGCGGGAGCTCAGGAAGCTGGGAGGAAACATGGAGAAAAAAATTAACCTGAGTACTCCCTGTAAAATTAGAGCTAACTGTCTGCACAAAATGACAGTGCTTAATATGGAAAGCGAAACTCTGGACATTTAATTTGGAAAAAATATTAATGGATTGGTACACTAGTACACCCATTGGCAAAGCCATTGCTTGTTTCACAAATTTCCTCATTTGGACCTCAGAGAACTAGGTGTTTTTACTGCATGAATATGTTCATTTCCTTGTTCTACTCACTGCAGTAATTTCAACTGTATGCTTTGTGACATCTTATATGAGAACTTTTTCGCCTTTGGAGGTCAAAGAAGAAATTACTGTCAAGGTAGAAAATTGGATTGTTCCTTTCAAAATTTTCAATTAGATTTTTCAGATCTCCAAAGGAAGAGATATGAATATATTTTATTCCTGTTTATTCCCCGAGAGTAAAAAATACTTGCCCAAACCCCTGATATTCAAGTGGATAAAACTAGTATTCAAAATCATCATTGTAGAGAGCTGTCTGGGATGGCTCAAGGACATTCTTTTAATTCTTATCAGCTGAGCCCGAGGGCACTGGCAGAGTCCTGTTATCGGTAGATTTCTTATCTTTATCCAAGTGCTTGGAATGAGGAACAAATAGGACCTTGACTAACCCAGGTCTTGATATGCTAAACCTTGCACAAAAAGCCGAAATCAGTTTGGCTCAATGGATAGAGCCTTGGCCTGCAGACTGAAAGGTGTCTGTGCTTCCACACACACACACACACACACACACACACACACACACACACACACCCTCCCCCCGTTTGATTCCCATCAAGGGCATGTACCTTGGTTGCGGGCACATCCCCAGTGGGGGGGGGGGGGTGCAAGAGGCAGCTGATCTCTCTCATCGACATTTCTAACTCTCTATCCCTCTCAATTCCTCTCTGTAAAAATGAATAAAATATATTTTTTAAAAATCTTGTATAAAAAAATGAGGAACTTACCCAGGTCTTGATGAATAGGACGTGGGCACACCCAAAACTCCTTTTGACCTTAAACTCCCCTTTGGAAACCAATAAATGTGCTGTGTTGTCTGTGGTGAGTGTGACTGTCTCTCTATCAGCGGACAAGGCTCCACCCGGCACCCAGCTTGAATCTATTTCTGTCTCTTGTCTCTTTCTCTAATTTCTTAATCCCCAGCTCCTCCACCGGGGAATCTGTCTTTCTCCCTTTCCGTGCGGGACTCGGCAAAAGGAGAAACACCACAATCATCTTTCTGAAACACTTCATATTTATATTCAGGAAATGGTAAATCCAGTTCATGTGTCTGAAATTTATTACATTGGATTTCCTGTTCTCAGAGTCTCTCAGCAGCTAAATAGCATGGGCCCCTCAGGTCCTCAGGCCGCCCAGACGCCTGGGCTGAGTACATTAGAAAGAATGCATGAAGGGTGTTGTGGTGGTCTGGGCAGTGGCTGTGGGGTTACACCATCTGCTCCGTAGGAGGGGCATTGGCAGCGGCTTTGCCCAGTCTTAACAGATCCTATGTGTGCTCCTCACACAGTATTCTCAGTTCATCAACCCCATCTAGGCAGAACAAGAATTTCTCGACTGGGCCAGGATCTCTGGATGGAGGCCTGCCAGCCAGGCCAATCATGGCAATCCAATCAGCAAATTGTATCTTTATCAGCTGGCACAGTTCTCTGCAGCTCAGATAGAGGACTTCATGGAACCTATTATGATAGAGCACATGTGTCAAACACAAGGCCCTCGGGCCAAATCCGTCCCGCCAGGCCTTGCAATGTGGCCCGCACAGCGCTGTCATCACTGCACTCCGCTGCGTTTCCATCACAATGAGTTTATGACTGTTCAGTAAACCATTCGGCCCGCGATTTAGGCTGGATTTTAGATTTTGGCCCCTTCTCTGATTGAGTTCGACACCCCTATGATAGAGCATTCCTTCCACCCAGTCCAGTACTCCCTTCCTGGTCAGAGTGGTCTTCCCCATCCCAGAAGACCCCCGCAGCACAAGAGTCCAGGACTGGACTCCTGCCTCCTACCTAATTAGAATAAAATAAACAGGCATCTTTACATGAAGTCTCAGTCCTCGCCCCCCCCTGCCCCCCCCACCTCCTTGCTCTGCTAACAGACTCAGTACATTTTTGTAACAGCTAAAAAAAAAAAAAAAATACTATCTGCCACAGATCTAAACTATTTAACATAGAAAGGCCAAGAGTTTATTTTGGGTTAATTATTATTTTTTTTAAGTGTTACTTTAAAAAAAATATTTTATTGATTTTTTTAGAGAGAGGAAGAGAGAGGGACGGAGAGTTAGAAACATGGATGAGAGAGAACCATAGATCAGCTGCCTCTTGCACACCCCCTACTGGGGATGTGCCCGCAACCAAGGTACTACATGCCCTGGACCGGAATCGAACCTGGGACCTTTCAGTCGGCAGGCCGACGCTCTACCACTGAGCCAAACCGGTTCGGCGGGGTTAATTATTTTTTGAAATTCCAAGGGACTAAGGCATTCCTTTGAAAGCAGTGAAGGGGAAGACAGTAAGCATGCCTCGCCTCTATGACCTGTGTCTCCATAGCCAAATCTCAAACGTTTGGAGCTTCAGTATCCGTGGGACACGACGTACCTACAAGCTGCTCTTGGCCAAATCCAATGCCCTCACTTGGTTCTTAGTGTCCCTCAAGGCATCTCAATGGCGTTTAACCCAGGGGAGCACTTCGCTCTTGCGGAGACTTGCTTCCCTCGGTCTTCAGAACCCTTCTTCCTCGGCCCTTCTCTTCATTCTTTCTCCTCCCCTTTCCCCTTCCGTGCCCCTCCGGGGTGCTGCCTCCCTCAGCCCCGCCAGACTCACCTGCCACCCTTCACCTCGGCGTGTCCCTCTGCGTTCCGCGCGGAGCGGCCCCACGCCGAGCTGCCGAGGTGTGCGCGCCGCCTCACAGACCGACCAGGAGCACGCACTTCCTTCGCCCGGCGGGCTGGTTACCCGGCAACCGGAAGCTCCGCCCTGGAGACCTGCCCTGGTGGGCGGGGCTACCCCGTCCCGCTTAGATGCAGGCCCAGCCAGAAACCAATAGTCAGCGCTGATTCAGGCGTCCAGCGGGAACCTGGGTGGTGTTGAGACCGGAAGGGGAGGGCCGCCCTCGTGGGGTCACGCCCCCGCGGTTTGGGCGTGGCTGCCCCTCCCACCTGGTCAGCGGTGGAGGTGGGCTGGGGGCTGCCTCCGCGGCTGTTGGCTCCACTCCTGCTCCCCGGGGTTGCGCGGTGCGGAAGGGAGCCACAGCCCCTGGCCACCCTTTAGGGAAACAGCCGGTATGCGTGTTTTAGAGGGGGACTGACTTAGGAGTTAGGTAAATAAATAGTTACTTCTGTCCCATACACTATAAAGGAGTTGTGAAATGGCAGTGCAGAGGGGAGGTTTTGTTGTTGTTGTTGTTGTTGTTTTACCCATTAATATATATTTTAAAATATATTTTATTGATTTTTTTTACAGAGGAGAGAGAGAGAGAGAGAGAGAGAGAGAGAGAGAGAGAGAGAGTTAGAAAACCGATGAGAGAGAAACATCAATCCTCTTGGTGGGGATGTGCCCGCAAGCAAGGTACATGCCCTTGACTGGAATCGAACCTGGGACTGTTATGGACCAGATTCCCAGGAAAAGCCACAGAGTCCAAATTGTTCCTAATATCAGCCTTTATTCACGAATTCGAACTCAGGCTTGAGCCTTAGCTGGCGCAGCAGCAGGCAAGAGCCCCGAACAAAGGTGTTAACCTGCTTTTATTTTCTGGCTCTGGGAGGATATTTGGTATAAGATGATTGGCTGCTGAAGCCGGTTTGGCTCAGTGGTAGAGCGTCGGTCTGCGGACTAAAGGGTCCCAGGTTCGATTCCGGTCAAGGGCATGTACATTGGTTGCGGGCTTATCCCCGATAGGGGCTGTGCAAAAGGCAGCTGGTCAATGTTTCTCTCTCATCGACGTTTCTAGCTCTCCATCTCTCTCCCTTCCTCTCTGTAAAAAAAATCAATAATATATATAAAATAAATAAAATAAAAGATGATTGGCTAACATTTAGGGCATAAAAACCAACTTTATTCTTGGGGCTGCTGGCAGGATGTTGCTGGGGGGCTATTCTCCACTCTGACTGCTCATCTAGCTAAGAAGCAGGATGTGTGGTTTCTGTCGTTGAGCTAGCAAAATATTGGGTCGGCAGCTAAGTAATTGCGGATTTTTTAAAGAAAATCAAAGACAATTTTTTCATGGAACTAAATAACTTTATTCTGTAATGTATTGCCCATTTTGATCAATGACCTCTTGCCATCTTTCAGGCAGCATCATAATCCCACGTTCAAAAAACTTCTGGTTTTTATTAGCAAAAAACTGAATCAGGTACGATTTGACATCATCATCATTATTGAAATTTTTACCATTCAAGGAGTTTTGTAAAGATCGAAACAAAAAGTAATCAGATGGTGCAAGGTCAGGACTATATGGTGGATGTGGCAAAACATCCCAATCAAGCTCCATTAATTTTTGCCGAGTGACCGAAGATGTGTGTGGCCTTGCATTGTCATGATGGAATACAACACCTTTTCGATTTGTCAATTCGGGCCGCTTTTCTTCAACTGCATTGTTCAATTTCGTTAGTTGTTCAATGTAGACATCAGAATTGATCGTTAGGTTGGGTGGTAAGAGTTCAAAGTAGACAATTCCTTTGTAATCCCACCAAACTGATAACAAAACCTTCTTTTGATGAATATCAGCTTTTGATGTTGTTTGAGTTGGTTCACCTGGCCTGCTCCACGATCTTTTCCGCTTGATATTGTTGTAAACAACCCATTTTTCATCGCCAGTTATCAGTCGTTTTAAAAATGGACCATTTTCATTACGTTTCTTTAGCAAATCGCAGCTGCTAATGCGTTGCGTTAACTCTGATTCTTTCAGTTCGCGAGGAACCCATGTATCGAGTTTTTGAACATAGCCAAATTGTTTTAAGTGATTTTCAATGCATGTATGTGATACATGAAGCTTCTCTGCAATCTCACGTGTTGTACTGTGACAGTCCGAATTGATTATTGCTTTGATTAGGGCGTCATCAACTTCAACTGGACGACCAGAGCGTTTTTCATCTTTGAGTGAAAAATCACCAGAACGAAATTTGGCAAACCAATTTTGACACTGCCGTTATTTTAAGGCTTCGTCACCATAAACAGCACATAACTTTTTATGAGCTTACGATGCGTTTTTCCCTTTGAGGAAGTAAAAAAGCAAAATATGACGAAAATGTTCCTTTTGATTTTCCATTTTTCAACGAACGCCAAACGAAAACTACAAAACAGATCAAAAATTTTTTTTTACTGATTAACAGCTGAATAGCCAACTATCAAATAACAAAATGTGTTTTACATTTGTACTACGTCTGCAAACCTAAAAATTCAACTGAAGCCATATATGTGTGAAACCAGCAATTACTTAGTTGCCGACCCAATACTTGGCAGAAGCTGTAAGTAAGGTAGCAAGGTTTATATAGTTTTTTAAATTTTCCACTATCTATATTATGTTATGATTATAGTTATTGTTCTTTCTGTCCTGAATTTCAAGTGCCCTAGCACAGGGACCAAGGCTGACGCTCTATCCACTCAGCCAAAAATTGAATTTATTGGAGTGACTTTTGTTAGAAAAACCATACAGGTTTCGAGTGTACAACTCAACAGAACATCTGCACACTGCATGTGCGCCTATCTCCCAAAGCAAAGTCTCTTTCCATTCCCATTCCACCCCACTTCACCCACCTCCACCTACCCCCACTCCCCTTTCCTCTGGTTGTCGCCACACTGTTGTCTGTGTCTATGTGTCATGTCTTATGGATAATCCCTTAACCTTCTTTCAGCCAGTTCCTCCTCCTCCCCTCCCCTCTGACAGCTGTTGGTCTGTTCCATGTATCCATGCCTCTGTTTCTATTTTGTTCATCAATTTATTTTGTTCATTAGATTCCACATATGAGTGAGATCACATGGTATTTGTCTTTCTCTGACTGGCTTATTTCACTTAATGTAATAATTTTCAGGTTCATCCATACTGTTGCAAAAGGTACATGCTCTTGACCAGAACTGAACCTTTGGGCCCTTGAGTCCACAGACCGATGCCCTCTCCATTGAGCCAAATCAGTTAGGGCAGTACTTCATTCTTTTGTTGTGGTTGTGTAGGATTCCATTGAATAAATATGCCACAATTTATTTATGCATTTTCCTTCAGATGGACATTTGGATTGTTTCCAGTGTTTCACTATTCTAAATAAAGCTGCTATGAACATTCTGTACACATCTTAACCATGTATATCCAGGAGTAGAATTGTTGGGTCTGTGGGTGGACATGTGTTCTCCTTAATACACAGCATCAAACAGTTTTCCAAACTGATTGTGCCAGCTTATACCACACCAGCAAAGTAGGACAATTCCAGATGCTCCACACTCTCAACACTCACCTTCCAAAAATGCAGCTGCCATTATTCCCTCTCATGGAGATAGGCAGCCAGCCAACAGAATCTCTCAAACTTCCCCGTGGAAGTCCCTTCCCCCACTCCCCTCCCCTTGTTGAATTTGGTAAATACACCTTTATTTAGTGAGTTACTCACTCCTGAGCAACTTACTGGTGTACAGTGGTGCCTCACACAACGAACTTAATTCGTCCCAGGAGCAAGTTTGTTATGCGAAAAGTTCGTTATGTGAAATGCGTTTTCCCATAACAATACATGTTAAAAAAAATAATTCGTTCTGTAGCATAAAATATGCTAAGATGACATAAAAAAAGATAAATTTTTTGTTATTATTTTTATTTAGATACATCTAAAAACATAATTAAAAAAAAAACACACATTTTTTTAATTTTAAGACAGACTAAGTAGAGTCTACCGAATCTTGCACATCTTCATCCATTTTCTGCTTTTTGGCCGATGGTTTCATGAAAAACCTGTCCAAAGTCGTTTGTTTTTCTCTTTTCTCCAACATCTGCCAGAAATAACGGACAAGAGTATCGGAATAAAGATCGTTGATCCTGTTTGCTTCAGCTGAATCCGGATAGTGGGCATTGGTAAACTCCTGAACTGCTTTCCATTTGACCAGGATGTTCTTGATGTCAGCAGTTGGGATTGGTTGATTGTTTGATTGTTGCTCCTCGTTATCAGATGAGGCTTCCCTTTGAGCATTGTCCTGTTGCTGGACCAGAAGTGCTTGGAGCTCTTCAGTTGTCAGCTCTTCTTCGTGTTCCTCAATAAGCTCCTCTACATCCTCTTCCTCTACCTCTAATTCCAACCTTTGGGCCACTGTGATGATGTCCTTCACCACTTCTGTGTCATCAACTACTGCTTCTTCCTGGGTCCACGAAGGCACAAGCATCTTCCAAGCAGAAATGAGGGTCCTTTGTGACACTTCTTCCCAGGCCTTCTGTATAAGTCGTATTGCCATAAGGACATCAAATTTCTCCTTCCAAAACTTTCGGACAGTCATATTGTCTCCACCAAACTCGCATTCTTCAAACACCTTATTAAAGAGGGCTCTAGTGTAGAGTTTTTTAAAGTTCGCAATAACTTGCTGATCCATTGGCTGAAGAATGGATGTGGTGTTTGGTGGCAAATACTGCACCTTGATAAAAGGATAATTTTCCTGCAATATTTCCTCTAGGTCTTTTGGGTGAGAAGGGGCATTGTCAAGTATCAGAAGGGCTTTGAGCGGCAGTTCTTTTTCCAGCAAGAATTTCTTCATGGCAGGAGCAAAGGGTTCCAGAATCCATTCGTTGAAGATAACTTGGGTCACCCAGGCTTTTTGATTGGACTTCCAATGGACGGGCAGTTTGGACTTAATAATGTTATTTTTCTTGAAAATTC